AGATTAGTGGAGTTGTGTGTTGTGTTGTGTAGTGTAGTGTAGATTAGTGGAGTTGTGTGTTGTGTTGTGTAGTGTAGTGTAGATTAGTGGAGTTGTGTGTTGTGTAGTGTAGTGTAGTGTAGATTAGTGGAGTTGTGTAGTTGTGTTGTGTAGTGTAGTGTAGATTAGTGGAGTTGTGTGTTGTGTTGTGTAGTGTAGTGTAGATTAGTGGAGTTGTGTAGTTGTGTTGTGTAGTGTAGTGTAGATTAGTGGAGTTGTGTAGTTGTGTTGTGTAGTGTAGTGTAGTGTAGATTAGTGGAGTTGTGTGTTGTGTTGTGTAGTGTAGTGTAGATTAGTGGAGTTGTGTGTTGTGTAGTGTAGTGTAGATGAGTGGAGTTGTGTGTTGTGTAGTGTAGTGTAGATTAGTGGAGTTGTGTAGTTGTGTTGTGTAGTGTAGTGTAGATTAGTGGAGTTGTGTAGTTGTGTTGTGTAGTGTAGATGAGTGGAGTTGTGTAGTGTAGTGTAGATTAGTGGAGTTGTGTTGTGTTGTGTAGTGTAGTGTAGATTAGTGGAGTTGTGTAGTTGTGTTGTGTAGTGTAGTGTAGATTAGTGGAGTTGTGTAGTTGTGTTGTGTAGTGTAGTGTAGATTAGTGGAGTTGTGTGTTGTGTTGTGTAGTGTAGTGTAGATGAGTGGAGTAGTGTGTAGTGTAGTGTAGATGAGTGGAGTAGTGTGTAGTGTAGTTCACCATGGAGCTGACGACTCGACTGATGTAGATGGGGTTACAGCGCGCTGAATGATCCTCCTGTGCGTCTTTCAGACACTTTGGGTTCAGATCCAGCAGCTTCAGACAGATATCCACGATATCATCCTCAAACTAGACAAACCAGAGTCGTCGAGATCACTGTTGTGTGACGTTCATGTGTGTGTTTAACCCTATAAATCTGTATTCCCCATACATTCTCCATATTCTCACTATATGAGCCATAAAAGCCTGTTGGATTGAGTATGATATGCTGAACATATAGTCTTCTGTTTATGGGTTATTTGAATGTCTGGTGTGTGTGTGTGTGTGTGTGTGTGTGTGTGTGTGTGTGTGTCCGTCCTCACCTGACCGTAGTCCCAGCTAATGCTGGTGATGTATTCATCCACTCCCTTATACACGATCCCCTGCTCGTTCATGACGTATTCCTGCCTCTCCGCTTCGTCCGGCAGAAACACCCAGTCATCTGGAGAGAGAAGATTTGGGAGATTTTTTAACTTTATTTACCTTTAAATGACTAGATTTGATCAGTACATAATAAATAGTAATTTAAGCACATTTCTCACATTCTTTCAACTTAAATTCCACAATAACTCACACTTTCATGCATAACCCTTTTAATTCAGCTCTAAATATCTTACATCGGGAGTCTTTGCTGATCCTCTTGTGGGAAATAAATAATAATAACACATGATATTAGATGGCTGTAGATGATCTTATATCTGTATATGGAGCAGAGGAGCTGTTCTGCGGGGTCCTGAAGCCAGATTATCTTCAGTGTGTATTCAGACACACATGTAGACATTATAAAAAAAAATTGGGAAAGTTTTAGCATTTTGAGTTTGAATTTTGAGCATTTTTATGTTTTTCTGTGTGTACTGAAGCATTCCTGACGTTCCGCTCATCCCGAAGGGGCTCAGATTGACCCGAGAGGATTTCCTAATGTTTTAGATTTCAACCTCAAAACTCAAACTGATGTGTGTGTAATCGAGGTTCAAGTGCAACAACAGTCCTGGAGTCGTGGACCGCTCTGATGAACAGACCCGAGGGATGGGGAGTGTGTGTGTGTGTGTGTGCACCTTTACACCAGGGGTTGAACAGCACCGTCACGGCTCTCTCGAAGGTCACGGCGCTGGAGCCGCTCCTCAGTGTCAGCGAGTACTGGCCCACACAGGCGTTCGAGGGACACGTGACGGACAGGACGGCGCTGGAGGAGGAGCTGCTCGACACCGACACACTCCAGGATCCAGAACCAGGACCAGATCCAGAACCAGATCCAGAACCAGGACCAGATCCAGAACCAGGACCAGAGGAGCTGAAGGTGGAGCGCGTGCCCTTCTGTTCACACGCACCAGGACCTTCAGTCAACAGAACACACAGAGTTATGATCTATCCATCTATCTATCTATCTATCTATCTATCTATCTATCTATCTATCTATCTATCTATCCATCCATCCATCCATCCATCCATCCATCCATCCATCCATCCATCCATCCATCCATCCATCCATCCATCCATCCATCCATCCATCCATCCATCCATCCATCCATCCATCCATCCATCAATCCATCAATCGTGTGTGTGTGTGTGTGTGTTCACCTGTCTCCACAGTGATGTGGATGTCCGCTGGATCGAGTCTCTCGGCGCTGACCGTCAGACTGAAGGCTTTTCCCCTGCGGATGATCAGTCGCTCCAGTGTGATTTCATCGGTGTGATGGTCGGTGTTGTTCTTCACACACTGGAAATCCACTTTCATCATCACAGCCGCTGCAAACACACGGTTGGTTCGTTAGTTCATAACTAGTTCATCCAGTTTATCTCAGCTGAGAAATGAGATGTTTCGTCACAGAAAGATCGGGTGTGTCTGTCCTGATGAATGAAGGCCCGTCCGATAACATCTCAAATATCTTATGATAACACTTATGACACACTCTGGTGAAATCAGTCAATGATGCATTATTACAAGCCAAACCCTATTGTAAGTACTTGTATTCAGTTATTATTACTCAGAACTTAATTGGATAATTACTATGGTAGCTTGTTTCTGCCATGGAATGGAAAAAAAAAATCCAGTATAATTTATAATAATTTAGATAATTTTCGGATTTAGAAATAAACTCAGAATTTCTAGAAATAAACTTGGAATTACAAGAAATAAATCGAAACCTGGATTTCACAAACATGGAGTTTCGAGATAAAAATGGTCAGTTTCTTCTTATTGTTTTATTCAGTGGCAGAAACAATCTTCTATAAGTCACAGACAGAGTAACAAGCTCACCTTAACAATAAAGTGTGTGTTTAGTTGAGATGTTTCCACTGCTTTTATAAAGACAAACAAACCCTGAACACTAACAGTCTGTTGGTGATATTAGTTACTGTACTAACAGAAACACTAAACCAGTAAACACTCGTTATCTCGTTAGTTAATTACGTGTAACTAAGCTTTGTTTACTCGTCACACACATGCACTAGTGTAAAGACAACTAAACATCAGTTTCACTCACCCTGATCTCGGCCGACAGCGCTTCTGCTGCTCAGGTCCACACTCATGCTCCGTTAGTATGTGTGTGTGTGTGTGTGTGTGTGTGTGGTGCTTTATACCGCTAGAGCCCTACCCTTCGCTCCCACGAGTCGAGAACACTGAATCCTCCCATCTGTCATATATCTGAGTGTATTACCAAACCCAGTGATGATGAAACTCTCTGACTGATGGAGAAATAATCCCAGTTATGATGAAGAACATCAGTGGATCTTAAAGAGCAATACAGTTATTAATCTTTGTGTTAGTTAATAAACTTGTCATTATTACGGTAGCTCAGCTCTGTTAAATAATACTATCAGATACGAATTTTGATTTGAACGTTTTAGTAAATGTTTAACATTAACTGAATCTTATTGTAAATACCTGTATTATGTATTTATGAATCATAATTTTTACGTTTAAAGTTTACTTTGGCTTAAAGTCCCCATGAAATCAAGTTTTTCCTAAAGGATTCTGAAATGATTTGATAAAGCAGTGAATGTACAGTGTTTATGATGTTTATTAACACGAGGTCTGAGACAGTCCTTCACTGAACAACACATGCTCTAGGAAACAGATTTATTTTCACATCTTTCTCCTTTGACTTTGAAATGTGCAGGATCCAGAAAAAAAGGATCAATAAATATGTATTGATTTAATATTCAGTAAAACACACTCTTCCTCAGTGTTTCTGTCTCGGTCTCCAGCACAAACACCCACACACTCTTAGATTCACTGGAGAACAGCAATGACTGGAGATATGAAGTCTTGATCATGAAGGAAAGCATGAAAATGAAGCGAGTTTGAGCTTAAAACAAGAACAAATATCTGACATCCAAGTCTGAAAAATAAACTTAAAGGGATAGTTCACTTTGAAATTAATTTTTGATATGTTTTATCTTCCCTCAAGGGCATCCAAGATGTAGGTGTCTTTGTTTCCACAGTATTTTCAATTTTGACATTTTTAAGTCAAACCGTTGTTGTCTATCAGTCATACACTGGAGGCTAAGGGGGTCCACCAAAGAGCAGCACAGAGAAGTCCAAATTAAACATGATTTAATGACTCGTACATGTAAGTACACATTGATGGCCTAAGACACGAAACGAGCGGTTTGTGTGAGAAAACCAACAGTATTTATATCGTTTTACCTCGTGTAATCAGGGCAATGTCCAACTGAACCGAACTGAATCAGTTCAATGTTACGCCGGAAGTGATCGCTTGCGTGTGACGTCACTCAATATTTACATGGAGATTTCGGAAGTTTTACCTTTTACTAAACATATTTAGATATACCGAAATCGTCTTCCATTGCGGTTTCCCGTATATCTAAATATGTTTAGTGAAAGGTAAAACTTCCCAAATCTCTGTATAAACAAAGAGTGACGTCGGCGCGCAAGCGATCACTTCCAGACCGAAGCGCCCGTGCCGTCAGATCATTTTGTCATGGCTATGATTACAAGAGGTAAAACGATATAAATACTGTTCGTTTTCTCACACAAACCGCTCGTTTCGTGTCTTAGGCCATCAATTACATGTACGAGTCATTAAATAATGTTTAATTTGGACTTCTCTGTGCTGCTCTTTGGTGGACCCCCTTAGCCTCCAGTGTATGACTGATAAACAACGGTTTGACTGAAAAATGTCAAAATTGAAAATACTGTGGAAACAAAGACACCTACATCTTGGATGCCCTTGAGGGAAGATAAAACCTATCAAAAATTAATTTCACAAGTGAACTATCCCTTTAATTAAAAAAAAAAAAAAACTTAAAATAAACAAGATAACGAGAGAGAAACCCTGAGGAAGAGCGTCGTGATTTCCCGCTCAGATGATTGTCACTTCAGGCACTTATTGGGAACAACAGAACGGAAATCATGAGTGAAATCAAGCATTCAGACTGAGGAACACAAGGAAGTGGCGTCACGCGCCCAGAAATAACAGACATCGTTCATGTTCTTATTGCTGAACACTGAGCTTTAGCGGTCCTTCTCGTTCATCGCTCTGAACGTGAATCAGCTCAGCGTCTCCCGATCTCTGGGATCTCTCCGTGTGGCGATCGGCTCCGGCGCGAAGCGTCTCGTGTGACGGATCAGAACCGGCCGCTGCGGCTCATGGTGAGCGGGAGCGAGACCGACGACAGCGACGACACTTCCCAGTACAGACTCCGGGACAAGAAGAGCTGGTACAGGACCACCACTGAGATCGACTGGCACAGGATCACGCCGATCGTGACCACCTGCGGACACGAGACGAGACGTGAGGGACGAGACAGACGTATTTCTAGTTCTTCTGTTGAGTTTCTCTTTACCTTTTCTTTCTGATGTTCGTTGAGCAACACCGAGAACAGAACCAGCGCTGGATGACAGAGGAACCACAGAAAACAGCCCTGAAACACAGACCGCAGATTCACCACACGGACGATTTCATGTTTCTGAAAGAGTCTCTTCTAAACGGCGGCGTTTATATGATCAAAACTACAGTAAAACAGTGAAATATTACTCCAGTGTAAATCATCTGTTCTCTATGGGAATATACAGTAAAGTGTCATTTATTCCTGTGATTTACTCCAGTCTTCAATGTCACATGACCCTTCAGAAATCACTCTAATATGAGGATCTGATGATCAAGACACAGTTATGATTATTATCAGTGTTGAACACAGTTTTACATTACCACTCAAAAGTTGTAATACTTTTATTCATCAAGGACGCATTTAAGTTGGTCAAAAGTGGCAGTAAAGAAGGATCATGTGACACTGAAGACTGGAGTAATGATGATGCTAAAAATTCACATAATATTCAATATATTCACATAGAGAATAGATGATTTACACTGGAGTGATATTTCACAGTTTATTCTGTATTTTTGATCAAATAAATGCAGGTTTGAGCAGAAGAGACTCTTTCAGAAACAGAAACATCTTCAGTGTTGCACAGTTTCCAGAGTCAGACAGGAGGAGGAGTGTGTTTGCCTTGGCGAAGCTGAGGTAGAAGTCTCTCTTGAGCGCGCTCCGCTCCGCCGAGACCATCTGATACAGCACTGACGCCAGAAACACAGCGAGAGAGACACGCAGCGCCATCAGGAGCCACACACACACACCGCCGGAGGAGTGGAAGCTGTGGTGATCCGCCTCCTCAAACTGCTCCCAGATCAGCAGCGCCCCCTGCAGACACACACAGAAATCCATGCAATTATCAGTGAATGAAGCCCAGTGTGTGTGTGTGTGTGTGAGCGCGGCTGACCTGAGCGATGACGACGGCCAGCGCGAGTGCAGTGGAGGCGGGTGTGGAGTCCCACTGGAGCGGTTTACACTGAGACTTCCTTCTGCGACTCAGAGACCAGCCCACACACAGACTCAACAACATGTAGAGCATCTGCACCTGCGCGATCATGTCACACACTGACACACACACACACACCATTACATTCTAACATTTGCAAGACGCTTTTATCCAACACGACTTCGAGGAACTCGTTATCAGTTCCACCCGCGACTCACGTTCAGCGAGGCTGCCGGTCAGCGGCGTCCCCACACCGTCTCGAGCGTATCTGAGGGTCAGAACACACACACACACACACACACATCAGCACAGAGCCTCGTCCGGATCACGCTACAGTGCTTCAGTAAGCAGATCTGACCGGCTCATGTGGATGAAGTTGAGCAGGACGGACGCTCCCTGTAGCATCAGCGCAGCGGTCAGAACCTTCAGAACCGTTAGCATCGGGCCGCCCTTCCTCAGCGCCTGCCACAGCGGCGGAGCGTAGATGCACGACGCCACGAAGTACGCCACCATCAGCAGCGAGTAGAAACTGTGGAGCCCTGCAACCACATGCATGACTGTCAAAAACCAGTTCAACGATTATAGCAATTTACACGTAATCGCTAATCGCACTGAAACCCGTTTGGCTTATCGTGATCCTGAAATCTCAAAGTCTGTGATGATCGTTAATGTGCAGCGTGTCAGTGAAGCTCGGCTCCGTAATCGCGGCTCGCTCTGAAACACTGACGCGAGTTTGAGTCGCTTATAACGAACATTAGAAGAAGCAACACCCGTCAGACATCTTTCCAGACATGAGACGCATTTATGAACCTCTCGTCCAACAGAAGACAACATTCAATAACACACTTTACTGCACACACACTTCATCAGGACAGCTGAGATGATTAGTCGTGTTTAATGTGTGTGTGTGGTGCCCTCTGGTGTTCAGACGGAGTATTTACTCCCGATCAGCCGTACTTCACTGACGAGCTGCACATAAAATAATCGGTTTCATTGTGATTAATTGTGCAAGCCTAATTTGAAGGGTTCTCACCGGCCTCCTCGGCGCTGAAGTGATCCAGTGGGTTTCCCGCGGCGTCGGGGTTTAGCATGGTGATCTGGAAGCGGACGTGTTCTTGCGCGCCGTCGATCTGCGTCTCCTGACAGGTGTAGCGGTCCGCGTACATCACGTGCCACGTCTGAGGCGAGGACTGGTGCGGGATCGTCTGGTTCTGCTCCTCTTTGTTTAGATTAACTGAGAGTGTGAAACGTTATATGAACCGTTCATGACAAAAATCAACATGCTCTTTGTTCAGGTGCTTCAAAAACAGCTAAACTTTGTCCTTTTAGACTTTGTTTCCTTTAAGGCAGGAGACCGCAGGCAAAAACACGTTTTATTTCATGCACTGCTCAGTCTTGATCTCTACTTTACATTACTATTGATAAAACTTCCCAAATTCACATTTAAGTGTGTTTTTTATTGCACTTTATCTATTTGCGTCTTAATCATCTTTAACATCTTGAAAGGCGGTGAGAAACCTACAGTATAATATATAGGTTTGTACCTATAGCGTAGAGTATAGTATAGGTTATACTAGTATATAAATCTACAGTATATAAGTTTATACCTATAGCATAATTTATAGTATAGGTAAAACTAGATAAACCTACAGTATATAGTATAGTGTATAGTATAGGTTACACTAGTATATAAACCTACAGTATATTTTGTACATATAGTAAAGTGTATAGTATATAGGTAATAGTAGTGTTTAAACCTACAGTATATACAGTTGTGGTCAAAAGTTTACATACCCCTTCCAGAATCTGCCAAATTTTCATTATTTAACACAGCTATTAAAAAAGTGGGGGTGAAAACTTTTGAACAGGATGAAGATGTCCACATTTTTGCTGGAAAGGGTTCAAATATATGCAAAAGATGTTGGAAAACAAGGATTTTTCTGAAGATCATCGGGCAGTTGAACTGGACAAACGAGGGACTCGAGAACAACCATCATAAACATAAATACATAAATACAGTCGTGGACACAGTATTAAGAATCAAGGGGGTGTGTAAACTTTTCAACCATTTTATAAATTCAGCTATTGTGGACAATATGTAAAGTAAAATATCTTTTTTTAGGACAGCACTAAATAAAAAATATGCATTATGTATGATCCCTCTTATTTATATGCTTAGATTATAATTTATATAGTCTATATCGTAGATAGGTAAATTTTTGATTATCATGATATACCGCTAGCGTCATATAAACATCGAGTGACTTATCTATGATGTGAATTAGGGTTCAGAGTTCACCGGTTCACTGTAGAAATGTCCAACATAATTCCCCTGTTGAAACCGGTTCAGATGCGAATGAATGACTCTTACTGGAGATCTCGGCTGATGTGACTCTCTCCTGACAGCTGAGATTGTCGAAGTCCTCGGTGTCCTGGATCAGCAGCAGTCTGGCCTCCTTCTGCACGGCCATCTGAACATCATACACACGGGACGACATCAGCCCGTTCTCACCTGTCAAACACACACACACGCATAGGATCAATCACGGCAATATTCCTGGACTGTCACATCGCTCATCAAGCCTTCACATGCATGCATGTAAAAGAAAGCCAAAACAAAAATATACATGCAAATACATTGGGGGAAAATGCAAATGCGTAATTTATTTTATTAATATATCATACACCCACCATGATACAGAAATCTTGTGATGTATTGCCCATAATTTTCTCTCGCCGCGTCACTCCTGAAAACCCCAGAAACCGTTTTTCCCGCTACAGGACATGAACTGAACAAAAGAACAATGAGAATGATAAAGAACACAAACATTATTTCATTTCAACAGAAGCTCTTATTCTCTTCATTCACTGCATTCAATGAGGTAATACAGTTCTTTTCCTCCCATCGGATGATTGACGTCTGCTACAACTAATCAGAATACGCCTTTTCAGTCTAGCGCAGTGAAGCAGCCAATGAGAGCGCAGCGGGGGCGGGGACAGAGTTTGGCTCCTACGTGTCAGCGCTGCCGGAAACCACTGCTAACTGTCGTGAGCGCTGTGTTTACGAAGCTCCCTGAAACCTGAAATCATGTCATAATTGATTGAAGAAATGTGGAGTAGTCAGTGAGTAACGCGACTGTTATTTAAAGCGCCGTCACTCGCGTTTCTGAGGAGACCACAGTGTTTCAGAGTAGATTAAGCGCTTTATGTTCACTGTCATGATTCACTTTAATCTTATCTACAGGTTAAACCTGTCAAACTGATGTGTGAAGATGAGCTGCAGCGAGTGTCGCACTGTACTGGTGACCGGAGGCGCGGGATTCATGTGAGTCCGTTATTACTGAACGTAATATTATTAATATATAGTTAGAATCACTGCATTAGACGAAAGAACATCGAATCACGAGTCATTTACTGTATAGAAAGATTCAAAAACTCACTTATTTGCACTGAGAAATGAGACAAACACTTTTTTTTTGTGACCAGAAGGTTCAGCAAAAGTTATTTTCATATTCTAGAGATTCAAGCTACGTTTTTTTTTTGTAATATGAATTAAAAAGTAATATGTAAGAAGTTACAGTTTCAAACTCATGAGTTTTTCTCAGTCAACTCATTGTGTTTCTCCCTGGAACATATTTAAAGTTCTCTTCAGTTTATTCCTTTATTTCTAATTTACTCTGTCTTAAAAAAAGTCTTCAACAAGTCTTAAATTTTACAATAAAAGTCAAAAATATGACATAGAAAGTCAATATTATGATTGTCATATTACTTTTTGTCATAATTTCGACTTTTTATGTAATAATTCAGTCAAGTAGGCTAATTTCATTATCTGATTTATGGGATTATTTTCATTTAAATGCTGTAATTTCTACTTTTTGTCATCATTTCAATTTACTATGTCATAATTTGACATGTCATTGTTTGGATTTAGTATGTCATAATTTGACATGTCATTGTTTTGATTTAGTATGTCATAATTTCTACGTTAGTGGTCGAGCAGAGCTGACAGAGCCAACTAAAAATAGAAAACTGTTCCATCTGTAGTGCATCAATGTGTAAAACGTGTAAAAATATACCCCAAAATACCAGCCGACAGAAACACACTGAGAATCTGCAGTAAGACAATTCTACTTGAGTAGATGATCTAATAATGCCGTTCTGCTTGTGTTTCAGTGGATCTCATCTGATCTCTGCTCTGGCCGAGAGATTCCCACACTGGCGCATCATAAACATTGATAATGTGAGTTCTGTCTCTCTGCTCATCGGAATGGCACGAAACTCAGGAAAGGTTTTGGTAAAGCCGAACAACATCTCACTGAACGCTCGTTTACTGACACATCAGGCTCACATTTGGAACACAACTTGTTTAGATTTATGGCTTTGCTTTCTCACAGTTTTAGAGTAAAACATGGTTTTGAAAATACATATTTCACATAGGGAAGGCAAGCCAAGGCAAGGCAAGTTTATTTATTTATCACATTTTATACACAATGGTAATTCAAATTACTTTACATAGAAGAAATTAAAATAATCAAAAGAAATCAGAATAATTAAAACATTTTAGAATACATTTTTTTATAAAAAATAAAATAAGTAAATAATTAAAACATAAACGTAAACAATTAAAAAATTATTTTGGCAAAATTTTCAGATCAATAAACGTAAAAGTCGTACGTTTAAAAAACGTAAAAAATTGTTTTAAGTTCACTCTGTTTTCTCTTCAGCAATAATCTGCCGAGTGTCGTATTTGAGATCAGAGATCAGACAATTTTCAGGTTTCACGTCGTCAATGCTCAAAATGTGAATAAATGATTTATAAATACAGCGTAAATATAATTTAGTGCCCTAAAAAGACATAATATCTAATAAAAAATGTTAAAAGTAAAGTTTAGTACATTAATTTAATTGAAATAAAAACAAATGTCAGTGATTTTTGACCGACACGCGAAATAGCACCAGAGGGTTAAATTGAATATCACACAAGTACGTCTTTTATAAGTCTACATCATGCTAGTGAATATAATGCTGGTTTTAATAATAAATGGCTGGTTTGATTGTCATGACTGTAATAAGAGTTTACAGGTTCAACATGGGCTGTGTGTGTGTGTGTGTGTTTCGACTCGTGTGTTTCAGCTCCAGCGCTGCTCGAGTCTGCAGAACCTGCGGGGCGTCGAGGGAAACCGCTTCTACACATTCATCCCGGTACGGAGACGCCCCACTCTTAGCTCCGCGGCTCATAGCTCCTCCTCCGCGGCTCATAGCTCCTCCTCCGCGGCTCATAGCTCGCGATCGTCCCGCTGACGAGTCTGTCCTTCTGTCCTTCAGGGCGATGTTTGCGATCCACTCTTCATAGACCGCCTCTTCTCGTCGCAGCACATCGATGTCGTCTTCCACTGTGCGGCTGAAACTCACGTGGGTGAGGAAACGTCTGACGCTCAGAATCATTTGTTAACAAGCACGTACTCATTACTTCACTGAGATCATTGTTTCTGTGTTCGATTATTACATTGTTTAAATGAATGCATTTTACGCTAACTGTGATTTTGTATATGTACATTTCTGAAATGCATAACTTACTTCACACACAACAGAACCGGAAGACAATACTAACCCTTTTTAGTTATTTTTGGACCAAAATGTATTTTCGATGCTTCAAAACATTGTAAGTAACCCACTGATGTCACATGACTACTTTAATGATGTCTTTATTTCCTTTCTGGACGAGGACAGTACCGTACACACATGTTCAGTGGAGGGACAGAAAGCTCTCGGACTAAATCTAAAATATCTTGACCTGTGTTCTGGAGATGAACGGAGGTCTGACGGCATGAGGGAGAGTCGTTAATGACATCATTTTAATTTTGAGGTGAATTAACCCTTTAATGCCCGTTATCCCCAGAGAGCTCGTTCCTGCGGCCGGCGCGCTTCATGCGTGTGAATGTGGACGGCACCGGGGTTCTTGTGCGAGCGGCGCTGCGGGCTCGAGTCCAGCGCTTCATCTACATCAGCACTGACGAGGTGTACGGACACAGTGTGGACCAGGTGTGTTCCCGCCACAGACTCCACACACTTCCCCGTAGTGTTCACAGTCATGTGATGCTCCTCTTGTTTGCAGCCGTTCGATGAACTGAGTCCACAAAGACCCACCAACCCGTACTCGTCTTCCAAAGCTGCGGCGGAGAACATGGTGATGTCCTACTGGACCCAGCACAAGGTATGAGGATGAAGAGTCTCAGAGCAACATGTGCATCTCAGAAACACTGCATGAAGAATGCTCATTTATCATTTCTGTTTCCGTTTTTTCGATAAAAAAGGTCTCTCGCAATTGCAAGTTTATATCTTACAATTCTTAGAAAGAAACTATTTGCAAGATATGAAATCAGATGATTTGCGAGGGAAAAGTCCTTTTTTACATTTTTATTTCCTTGTGGAAACGAGCATCTGTAGTTTATACTGTACATGACTGTAATATTACACTTCATAATACACTCTCATTTGTTAACTCCAGTTAATGCACTAACTAACATGATCTGTTATCAATACGGATGTTCATATTCACGATTGTTCAGTGTTAATAATGCCGCAAACACTAAAACAGAGCTCAGTGTGTTGTCATGAAACGGGTCAGGGATGTCCTCCGACTGGTTGTGTGTGTTCTCTCTCCTCAGTTCCCGGCGTTGATCACGAGGAGCAGTAACGTGTACGGGCCGCGTCAGTATCATGAGAAGGTACGTGAGCAGAAGCGAGGCCGCTGTGTGCTGTTCTCTCATTAACACGCTGTGATTGTGTCTGATCAGGTGATTCCCAGATTCCTGTCGCTCATTCAGCAGGAGCAGAAATGGTGAGTTGAACAGAACCTGTAATATTCAGTGTGTGTGTGTTTGTTCTCTATATCAGTGTTCCTGAACTCCTGAAACGTCTCCAGTGTGGCCTTGAGTTACTTCCGGGAACGAACACGCCACATTATTCCTCATTATAATAATTAATGCGCAGAATAAAGGGGTGGGGCCTGGTTGAGTTTGTTAGTAGTGTGTTAAACTGGCAGTTATGGAAAGGGGCGGGACATTTCCCAAACACACTCGAAGCGCTCGACCAATCACAACACACTGATCCAGCCGACCAATCAGAGCACAGTGTGCTTTCAGAAGGAGGGGCTTCATAGAGACAGGAAGTAAACAGAGCGTTACCAGAGAGAATGTCTAATTGAAGAGAATCGGCACTGGCTGGTTACTTCCGGGTTGTGGACTGGCTGCAGTAACGCGTCTCTGTCCATGCGGGGGCGCTCGCGGTCGACTGCAGAATGAATGGGAGTCAATGGGGTTTCACCCCCAGAAATCCACTTTGGATGTAATTTTTTTGTCAAGTAATTTGAAAGTTGCATTAAAAAAGGGAGGGCTAAGATAATACACTCAGATGAAAATTGCATTTTTAAGTTCACTTATCTGTTCTAAAAATACGTTCAAAACTGTGATGACGTAACACAATAGCAGAACGCTAGCGTGATCCGGCCAACAACGGCCTAACCTGTAAGACATCAAAAGGACATAAGTACTCGTTCATTCGACTTTTGGCCTATAATCTATATTGAACTTGCGGAATCAACAATAAAATCTGTGTTGATTTAACGACAAGCAGGTGAAAGAGACACTTTTAGCCGTTTAGCCCTATAGACTCCCATTCATTCTGCTCTCGCCCGCGATCACCCCCAGTGGAATTATAATGGAACTGCAACCAGGATGATCCACAACAAGGCTAATAGGAAGTGCCGAGGCTCTCCGTTAGACGGGCTCTGGCGTTACTGACAGACTGGGAAGAGAGGAGCCGCAACAATGGAGAATATGAGGAGAATAATCAGCATCAAGGAACGTGCGCTTTAATAATGACTGAGTGTGTTCAGCACGATCCAGGGCTCCGGCCTGCAGTCCAGACACTTCCTGTACGTGAGCGACGTCACAGACGCCTTCCTGACGGTGATGGAGAAGGGCATTCTGGGGGAGATCTACAACATCGGGAGCAGCTTTGAAATTCCCATCATTCAACTGGCCAGAGAACTAGTGAAAATGGTAGGGATGCCACAACTCTCTATATGTCGTAATCGTTCATCACTTCACTGAGATCATTGTTTCTGCTTTAAACTATTACACTTTTCACTAACTGGGATTTTGTAAATGTACATTTCTGAAATACATAACTCATTAAATGTTGTTTTGATTGAGTTTTATTGATCCGTTCGCAGAAAGTGAAGAACGTCTCCTGTGACGCGCTGGATGACTGGATGGAGTTTGTTGAAGACCGGTGTGTGTCCCGTCTAATGTTTGCAGGTCATGTTTGTGAGTGATATTCCATATAGTAAACTACTATCGTTGCAGTCCTGTGACGGAGCTGCGGTATCCCATGAGGTCCGAGAAGCTGCGCCGGCTCGGATGGAGACCCAGCGTCACGTGGCAGGAGGGAATCCGGCGCACCAGTAAGACCAACAACACACATGTGCTTCCAGATGATGATGATGATGATGAAGAGTGTGACGCGTCTCTGGTGTTTTCAGTACAGTGGTATGAGGAGAACCCAAACTACTGGCCGTTGACCAGTGAAGATCAGGAGCACTCGCCAGAGTCATGTGACCAGACGCTTCACATCCAGTGCCTTTTCAAGTCAGACAATACAGTCTAGCTCTGTATTAAGTCTAATTGTTTATGGGAATATTTTGTATATTAATTTATGCAAGTGTCAGTCGATGAAGAACATGAGAAACTGTTTTCCAGTTAAAAAGACCAAAAGTTGAAGATTTTTAAACTATTTATAAAGCTCATTTTGAAGAGACTCGAGCTCAGTTTCGGACTGTTTGTGCTCAGCTCGTTGATTATGAAAGATAAAGCTTCATTTGTATAATTACATGTATTGTTTTCAATCTTATTTATGCTTTAATAAAAAGGGTTTGACAGGCTTGTAATGAGCGTCTGTTGATAATGATCACCGTAAGCTTGTTGTTTTTATAGTAATCATTTCTGAAAGTAAACACATTTATTAAGAATCAACTTTGGATCTTAATCCGCTTTAACACACACCGTGTGTAAGTTGATAAGTGGACAGCATTGCTGAGTATTTCCTTCTTAAAACTGCAGTGAACCAAAGACAGTCTCAAAAACACGCTTTCAAATCGCTGGTGTTTCTGACGTCACAAAAAAATCAGATCAACTAAGGCCACATTTGGTGGTAATCTTTGTCTATTAAAATAAAAATACAACTTTTTCATAAAAATAAAACTTTCCTGAAACTTTCATCCTGAAGCATTTATAAAAATAAAAAATAAAAAAACATTCCAAATTCACCCTAAACCTTTTGCTCAGTATATTAAGATATTAGACAAAATAAGGCTTAGAAGACAAAACAACAAATATTAAATTAAGTGTTTTACACCAGTATTTAGATTTCTTCAAGGACTTTAGATACACATCAAATTTCTCTGTGAAAATGTACACTTGTAAATATAAATTTAGCAAGAAAATACAAATGGTTATGTTTGGAACAGTTGTGTTTGTGTGACGTACAGCGCCCTCTAGCGTCAGCATGCGCTCCATGCGTCAGGAAGTGACGTTAGAGTGAACGCGCACATGTGCCGGACACAGCATGTTTCTGCAGCACATGTTTGTGTTTATGTGACTGAATAACGGAGTAGCCGATCTAAAACCCACGAACAGGAGCAGGTCATGACGGGTGAGCAGGAGCGGTACCCGCCGCCGAGCTTCAGCGGAGCATCAGAGACTTCCGTTTCACCGGGGGATCCGTGGACCGGCCGCCGGTTCGAGGCGAGCAGAGACTGGAGCTGGAGCTGGACTCAACCCATGCCCGCCGGACCCTGGAGCTCGACCCCCGGCCAGTGGAACCAGCAGCCGCGGGGTCACGGACAGCAGCAGTACAGAGGTAACGCGTTCAGATATTGTATTAAAGTGTCAGTAACGCGTTCAGATATTGTATTAAAGTGTCGGTAACGCGTTCAGATATAGTATTAAAGTGTCGGTAACGCGTTCATAGTATTAAAGTGTCGGTAACGCGTTCAGATATTGTATTAAAGTGTCGGTAACGCGTTCAGATATTGTATTAAAGTGTCGGTAACGCGTTCATAGTATTAAAGTGTCGGTAACGCGTTCAGATATTGTATTAAAGTGTCGGTAACGCGTTCAGATATAGTATTAAAGTGTCGGTAACGCGTTCAGATATTGTATTAAAGTGTCGGTAACGCGTTCAGATATTGTATTAAAGTGTCGGTAACGCGTTCAGATATAGTATTAAAGTGTCGGTAACGCGTTCATAGTATTAAAGTGTCGGTAACGCGTTCAGATATTCTATTAAAGTGTCGGTAACGCGTTCAGATATTCTATTAAAGTGTCGGTAACGCGTTCAGATATAGTATTAAAGTGTCAGTAACGCGTTCAGATATTGTATTAAAGTGTCGGTAACGCGTTTAGATATTGTATTAAAGTGTCGGTAACGCGTTCATAGTATTAAAGTGTCAGTAACGCGTTCAGATATTGTATTAAAGTGTCGGTAACGCGTTCAGATATAGTATTAAAGTGTCGGTAACGCGTTCAGATATAGTATTAAAGTGTCGGTAACGCGTTCAGATATTGTATTAAAGTGTCGGTAACGCGTTTAGATATTGTATTAAAGTGTCGGTAACGCGTTCATAGTATTAAAGTGTCGGTAACGCGTTCAGATATTGTATTAAAGTGTCGGTAACGCGTTCAGATATAGTATTAAAGTGTCGGTAACGCGTTCAGATATTGTATTAAAGTGTCGGTAACGCGTTCAGATATTGTATTAAAGTGTCGGTAACGCGTTCAGATATTGTATTAAAGTGTCGGTAACGCGTTCATAGTATTAAAGTGTCAGTAACGCGTTCAGATATTGTATTAAAGTGTCAGTAACGCGTTCAGATATTGTATTAAAGTGTCGGTAATGCGTTCATAGTATTAAAGTGTCAGTAACGCGTTCAGATATTGTATTAAAGTGTCAGTAACGCGTTCAGATATTGTATTAAAGTGTCGGTAACGCGTTCAGATATAGTATTAAAGTGTCGGTAACGCGTTCAGATATTGTATTAAAGTGTCGGTAACGCGTTCAGATATAGTATTAAAGTGTCGGTAACGCGTTCATAGTATTAAAGTGTCGGTAACGCGTTCAGATATTGTATTAAAGTGTCGGTAACGCGTTCAGATATTGTATTAAAGTGTCGGTAACGCGTTCAGATATTGTATTAAAGTGTCAGTAACGCGTTCAGATATTGTATTAAAGTGTCGGTAACGCGTTCAGATATTGTATTAAAGTGTCGGTAACGCGTTCAGATATTGTATTAAAGTGTCGGTAACGTGTTCAGATATTGTATTAAAGTGTCGGTAACGCGTTCAGATATAGTATTAAAAGTGTCGGTAACGCGTTCAGATATTGTATTAAAGTGTCGGTAACGTATTCAGATATAGTATTAAAGTGTCGGTAACGCGTTCAGATATAGTATTAAAGTGTCGGTAACGCGTTCAGATATTGTATTAAAGTGTCGGTAACGTATTCAGATATAGTATTAAAGTGTCGGTAACGCGTTCAGATATAGTATTAAAGTGTCGGTAACGCGTTCAGATATTGTATTAAAGTGTCAGTAACGCGTTCAGATATTGTATTAAAGTGTCGGTAACGCGTTCAGATATAGTATTAAAAGTGTCGGTAACGCGTTCAGATATTGTATTAAAGTGTCGGTAACGTATTCAGATATAGTATTAAAGTGTCGGTAACGCGTTCAGATATAGTATTAAAAGTGTCGGTAACGCGTTCAGATATTGTATTAAAGTGTCGGTAACGTGTTCAGATATTGTATTAAAGTGTCGGTAACGCGTTCAGATATTGTATTAAAGTGTCGGTAACGCGTTCAGATATAGTATTAAAGTGTCGGTAACGCGTTCAGATATAGTATTAAAGTGTCGGTAACGCGTTCATAGTATTAAAGTGTCGGTAACGCGTTCAGATATTGTATTAAAGTGTCGGTAACGCGTTCAGATATTGTATTAAAGTGTCAGTAACGCGTTCAGATATTGTATTAAAGTGTCGGTAACGCGTTCAGATATTGTATTAAAGTGTCGGTAACGTGTTCAGATATAGTATTAAAGTGTCGGTAACGCGTTCATAGTATTAAAGTGTCAGTAACGCGTTCAGATATTGTATTAAAGTGTCGGTAACGCTTTCAGATATAGTATTAAAGTGTCGGTAACGTGTTCAGATATAGTATTAAAGTGTCGGTAACGTGTTCAGATATAGTATTAAAGTGTCGGTAACGCGTTCAGATATTGTATTAAAGTGTCAGTAACGCGTTCAGATATTGTATTAAAGTGTCGGTAACGCGTTCAGATATTGTATTAAAGTGTCGGTAACGTGTTCAGATATAGTATTAAAGTGTCGGTAACGCGTTCATAGTATTAAAGTGTCAGTAACGCGTTCAGATATTGTATTAAAGTGTCGGTAACGCGTTCAGATATAGTATTAAAAGTGTCGGTAACGCGTTCAGATATTGTATTAAAGTGTCGGTAACGTGTTCAGATATAGTATTAAAGTGTCGGTAACGCGTTCAGATATAGTATTAAAGTGTCGGTAACGCGTTCAGATATAGTATTAAAGTGTCGGTAACGCGTTCAGATATTGTATTAAAGTGTCGGTAACGCGTTCAGATATAGTATTAAAGTGTCGGTAACGCGTTCATAGTATTAAAGTGTCGGTAACGTGTTCAGATATAGTATTAAAGTGTCGGTAACGCGTTCAGATATAGTATTAAAGTGTCGGTAACGCGTTCAGATATTGTATTAAAGTGTCGGTAACGCGTTCAGATATTGTATTAAAGTGTCGGTAACGCGTTCAGATATTGTATTAAAGTGTCGGTAACGCGTTCATAGTATTAAAGTGTCGGTAACGCGTTCAGATATTGTATTAAAGTGTCGGTAACGCGTTCAGATATTGTATTAAAGTGTCGGTAACGCGTTCAGATATTGTATTAAAGTGTCGGTAACGCGTTCAGATATTGTATTAAAGTGTCGGTAACGCGTTCATAGTATTAAAGTGTCGGTAACGCGTTCAGATATTGTATTAAAGTGTCGGTAACGCGTTCATAGTATTAAAGTGTCAGTAACGCGTTCAGATATTGTATTAAAGTGTCGGTAACGCGTTCAGATATTGTATTAAAGTGTCGGTAACGCGTTCAGATATTGTATTAAAGTGTCGGTAACGCGTTCAGATATTGTATTAAAGTGTCGGTAACGCGTTCAGATATTGTATTAAAGTGTCGGTAACGCGTTCAGATATTGTATTAAAGTGTCGGTAACGCGTTCATAGTATTAAAGTGTCGGTAACGCGTTCAGATATTGTATTAAAGTGTCGGTAACGCGTTTAGATATTGTATTAAAGTGTCGGTAACGCGTTTAGATATAGTATTAAAGTGTCGGTAACGCGTTCAGATATTGTATTAAAGTGTCGGTAATGCGTTCATAGTATTAAAGTGTCAGTAACGCGTTCAGATATAGTATTAAAATGTCGGTAACGCGTTCAGATATTGTATTAAAGTGTCAGTAACGCGTTCAGACATTGTATTAAAGTGTCGGTAACGCGTTCAGATATAGTATTAAAGTGTCGGTAACGTGTTCAGATATAGTATTAAAGTGTCGGTAACGCGTTCAGATATTGTATTAAAGTGTCGGTAACGCGTTCAGATATTGTATTTAAGTGTCGGTAACGCGTTCAGATATAGTATTAAAGTGTCGGTAACGCGTTCAGATATAGTATTAAAGTGTCTGTAACGCGTTCAGATATTGTATTAAAGTGTCGGTAACGCGTTCAGATATTGTATTAAAGTGTCGGTAACGCGTTCAGATATAGTATTAAAGTGTCGGTAACGCGTTCAGATATAGTATTAAAGTGTCGGTAACGCGTTCAGATATTGTATTAAAGTGTCGGTAACGCGTTCAGATATTGTATTAAAGTGTCGGTAACACGTTCATAGTATTAAAGTGTCAGTAACGCGTTCAGATATTGTATTAAAGTGTCGGTAACGCGTTCAGATATTGTATTAAAGTGTCGGTAACGCGTTCAGATATTGTATTAAAGTGTCGGTAACGCGTTCAGATATTGTATTAAAGTGTCAGTAACGCGTTCAGATATTGTATTAAAGTGTCGGTAACGCGTTCAGATATTGTATTAAAGTGTCGGTAACGCGTTCAGATATTGTATTAAAGTGTCGGTAACGCGTTCAGATATTGTATTAAAGTGTCGGTAACGCGTTCAGATATTGTATTAAAGTGTCGGTAACGCGTTCATAGTATTAAAGTGTCGGTAACGCGTTCAGATATTGTATTAAAGTGTCGGTAACGCGTTTAGATATTGTATTAAAGTGTCGGTAACGCGTTTAGATATAGTATTAAAGTGTCGGTAACGCGTTCAGATATTGTATTAAAGTGTCGGTAATGCGTTCATAGTATTAAAGTGTCAGTAACGCGTTCAGATATAGTATTAAAATGTCGGTAACGCGTTCAGATATTGTATTAAAGTGTCGGTAACGCGTTTAGATATTGTATTAAAGTGTCAGTAACGCGTTCAGACATTGTATTAAAGTGTCGGTAACGCGTTCAGATATAGTATTAAAGTGTCGGTAACGTGTTCAGATATAGTATTAAAGTGTCGGTAACGCGTTCAGATATTGTATTAAAGTGTCGGTAACGCGTTCAGATATTGTATTTAAGTGTCGGTAACGCGTTCAGATATAGTATTAAAGTGTCGGTAACGCGTTCAGATATAGTATTAAAGTGTCTGTAACGCGTTCAGATATTGTATTAAAGTGTCGGTAACGCGTTCAGATATTGTATTAAAGTGTCGGTAACGCGTTCAGATATTGTATTAAAGTGTCGGTAACGCGTTCAGATATTGTATTAAAGTGTCGGTAACGCGTTCAGATATTGTATTAAAGTGTCGGTAACGCGTTCAGATATAGTATTAAAGTGTCGGTAACGCGTTCAGATATTGTATTAAAGTGTCAGTAACGCGTTTAGATATAGTATTAAAGTGTCGGTAACGCGTTCAGATATTGTATTAAAGTGTCGGTAATGCGTTCATAGTATTAAAGTGTCAGTAACGCGTTCAGATATAGTATTAAAATGTCGGTAACGCGTTCAGATATTGTATTAAAGTGTCGGTAACGCGTTTAGATATTGTATTAAAGTGTCAGTAACGCGTTCAGACATTGTATTAAAGTGTCGGTAACGCGTTTAGATATAGTATTAAAGTGTCGGTAACGCGTTCAGATATTGTATTAAAGTGTCGGTAATGCGTTCATAGTATTAAAGTGTCGGTAACGCGTTCAGATATTGTATTAAAGTGTCGGTAACGCGTTTAGATATTGTATTAAAGTGTCAGTAACGCGTTCAGACATTGTATTAAAGTGTCGGTAACGCGTTCAGATATAGTATTAAAGTGTCGGTAACGTGTTCAGATATAGTATTAAAGTGTCGGTAACGCGTTCAGATATTGTATTAAAGTGTCGGTAACGCGTTCAGATATTGTATTTAAGTGTCGGTAACGCGTTCAGATATAGTATTAAAGTGTCGGTAACGCGTTCAGATATAGTATTAAAGTGTCTGTAACGCGTTCAGATATTGTATTAAAGTGTCGGTAACGCGTTCAGATATTGTATTAAAGTGTCGGTAACGCGTTCAGATATTGTATTAAAGTGTCGGTAACGCGTTCAGATATTGTATTAAAGTGTCGGTAACGCGTTCAGATATTGTATTAAAGTGTCGGTAACGCGTTCAGATATAGTATTAAAGTGTCGGTAACGCGTTCAGATATAGTATTAAAGTGTCGGTAACGCGTTCAGATATTGTATTAAAGTGTCGGTAACGTGTTCAGATATTGTATTAAAGTGTCGGTAACACGTTCATAGTATTAAAGTGTCAGTAACGCGTTCAGATATTGTATTAAAGTGTCGGTAACGCGTTCAGATATTGTATTAAAGTGTCGGTAACGCGTTCAGATATTGTATTAAAGTGTCGGTAACGCGTTCAGATATTGTATTAAAGTGTCAGTAACGCGTTCAGATATTGTATTAAAGTGTCGGTAACGCGTTCAGATATTGTATTAAAGTGTCGGTAACGCGTTCAGATATTGTATTAAAGTGTCGGTAACGCGTTCAGATATTGTATTAAAGTGTCGGTAACGCGTTCAGATATTGTATTAAAGTGTCGGTAACGCGTTCATAGTATTAAAGTGTCGGTAACGCGTTCAGATATTGTATTAAAGTGTCGGTAACGCGTTTAGATATTGTATTAAAGTGTCGGTAACGCGTTTAGATATAGTATTAAAGTGTCGGTAACGCGTTCAGATATTGTATTAAAGTGTCGGTAATGCGTTCATAGTATTAAAGTGTCAGTAACGCGTTCAGATATAGTATTAAAATGTCGGTAACGCGTTCAGATATTGTATTAAAGTGTCGGTAACGCGTTTAGATATTGTATTAAAGTGTCAGTAACGCGTTCAGACATTGTATTAAAGTGTCGGTAACGCGTTCAGATATAGTATTAAAGTGTCGGTAACGTGTTCAGATATAGTATTAAAGTGTCGGTAACGCGTTCAGATATTGTATTAAAGTGTCGGTAACGCGTTCAGATATTGTATTTAAGTGTCGGTAACGCGTTCAGATATAGTATTAAAGTGTCGGTAACGCGTTCAGATATAGTATTAAAGTGTCTGTAACGCGTTCAGATATTGTATTAAAGTGTCGGTAACGCGTTCAGATATTGTATTAAAGTGTCGGTAACGCGTTCAGATATTGTATTAAAGTGTCGGTAACGCGTTCAGATATAGTACTAAAGTGTCGGTGACGCGTTCAGATATTGTATTAAAGTGTCGGTAACGCGTTCAGATATTGTATTAAAGTGTCGGTAACGCGTTCAGATATTGTATTAAAGTGTCGGTAACGCGTTCAGATATTGTATTAAAGTGTCGGTAACGCGTTCAGATATAGTATTAAAGTGTCGGTAACGCGTTCAGATATTGTATTAAAGTGTCGGTAACGCGTTCAGATATTGTATTAAAGTGTCGGTAACGCGTTCAGATATTGTATTAAAGTGTCGGTAACGCGTTCAGATAGGGTAGTCAAGGCAGAGCAGATCCTGACAGTTCTTATAACGTTCTTATAAGTAGAGACTGAAATTACATTTAAATAATTTTCCATTTCTTTTAAAAGACAGGTTTACAGTTGAAAAATTTGTTAATGTAAAATTTGAAAGTCTGAGTCAAAATACCCAAATATAGTCAAGTCAAGTCAAGTCACATTTATTTATATAGCGCTTTTCACAATACAGATTGTATCAAAGCAGCTTCACAGTGATAACATGAAAGTAGCACAACACAGATCAACAACATTGCTAAACACTAAATAACCCCAACTGAGCAAGCTCAAAGCAAGCCAAAAGCAAGGCGACAGTGGCAAGGAACCAAACTCCATCAGATTGGATGGAGAAAAAACCTTGGGAGAACCCAGGCTCAGTCGGGGGCCAGTTCTCCTCTGGCTTACATTCATATTGTTTAAATATAAATATTAAATATAAATATTGTTTATGAATCAAACGGCGCCATAACATATCGCAGGCGTTGAGTCGTCTCATCACAGGCGTTGGGGCATCCGAAATCCCTGTGAGAGGCTGGACACAAAACTGGACCTGACGAACGCCATTTTTCTATGGTCCCGAGATAACAGCAGAAAGGCAGATGGGAAATAATTAGCATAGCTGATGTTCATAATGATTTCCGTTATAACTCACAAACTCTCCCTAACCTGAACTCTCCGCAACCCAACCATATAATGTTTCTCATGTTCGGTTTGACCTCCAGGTCATCATCATCATCATCATCAGCGCGGTGTCTGGTGGGGATCAGGGCAGCACGAGAGGGGTAAAAAGGTAATACATATATGATATTTAAATACAGTAATGCTCTGTATGTCCAGTCAAATATGACTGTTTTGCTGGTTTCTCTGAGCAGAAGCAGCAGAAAGAGCCGGAGTTCAGTCACTTCTGCGACACGTGTGATCGAGGCTTCAAAACCCAAGGCAAATATGATGAGCACATCTCTCAGCACGTGAAGGTAGTGTGTGTGTGTGTGTGTGTGTGTCTCTGTGTGCGCGTGTGTGTGTGTGTGCCTTACGGTGTGATCTTCTGTTTACAGTGCTCTGTTGAAGACTGTCGCTTCACTGCACATGAGAAACTGGTGAAGATCCACTGGAGAAACGTGAGTGTCCGATAACCATAACATAACAAAATAATTATACACAGCACTAGGGTTGGGAACCGAGAACCGGTTCTTTTCCAGAACCGGTTGTGTTTTTGAAAAAATACCGGAACCGTGCAAAATTCCTAAGTTTCGGTTCCGAAAACGGTTCTGATGCCGATGCGATATCATCATGTGGGCGAAGTGCTGGGAGTAGAAGACGCCGTCTTATTCCTAAATGACAAAAACTTCACCACTGAAGTTGCGATTTGCTCTCACACGCGCTGCATTTGTCACACACAGACACACAGACACACGCACGCTGCGCGCGCCGACCGCCGAGTCACTCTCTAGCCTACATTCAAATCTGTTTGCGCTGAGAGAGAGCAGTTGTCGATATGAAACTGCTTTACAATCACACAGTCTCAATATTTATTTGTTTCACATATTCAAATGATTTCCGTTACAGAATTAGTGAGATTATAGTTTGAGTAAACATTGACGGTAGTGGTCAAAACAGATGCAGTCCGTATATTTTTTGTGTTCAGAATTTACAAAATATATACAATGAGCGAGTGCATCATAATGTTTTTTTTTTTCAAACCGTGTTTTTGTCTTATCTTGAATCACTACGTAAAGCCTGTAATAAGCGTTAATACTCGGACTTCTTTAGACTGGCCGGCGGATCGCAGCTGCTGCGGAGTAGCCCAATGCCTGCGTGACTCGTCATGGACATAAACAGAGAGAAGTAGCTCCGCAACAATGTTCTTCCGCAAGACGCATGAGCGCCGATTTATCCAGTAATGAAATAAGTAAAGTCTTTATGAATCAATCATTCAAACCGTTTTAAAAAATAATCTGTTCTTCACACATATGTGTGTTAAAGCATATTCTACTCCTTCTGAGAGGGTATTCTTCACTGTTGGAGATACAATAAAGGAGAGGTCTAAATTATTATAGAGAATGCAGAATTTTTTAATTTCCTTTATATATAATTTTTTTTTTTTTTTTTTTGCAAAGATTGCTTGATAATATTGTGAGTTTGTTTACATTACCAGTCTGTTAAACTAATTTGTCATGTACTATAAGAAATAAACAAAAAAAGGATTGTGGATTTTTCTCTTACTAATATTTTTAATTGAATGGGAACCGGAACCGGAATCGTTTGGCGGAACCGGAATCGGAACCGGAAAATTTCTCACGATTCCCAACCCTACACAGCACACACACTCATGTATGTGTGTGTGCCCAGCACTAAAAAAAACATTGACAGCCAGCCAATCAGAATCCATCTCAAACATTTAAAGAGACAGTCAGACTGATGTGTTGATGTGGACACTGGTGTGGTTGTGGGTCTTGCATGTTTAAACCTGACGCTGACGGATGTTTTCCGGCAGAACCACGCGCCGGGAGCCAAGCGGATCCGACTGGACTCGGCAGAGGACATCGCCAAGTGGAGAGAAGAGAGACGCCGGTGAGACGTTTACAGTCACGGTCGGCTTTATTCATAACGCTGATCGTTTCACAGTAATAAACAGGACATAACAGCTGTTTCTAACCCTAACATGTTGCTAGCATGTTTTAGCGTGTTGTTAGCATTATTTATCATGTTGCTGTTATGATTTAGCATGTTGTTAACAGTATTAAGCATGGTGTTAGCATGATTAAGCTAACTTGATTTAACATGTTTACATTATTTAACACATTGCTAGCATGATTTAGCACCTTGTTAACATAATTTTGCATGTTGCTAATGTTAACACAAGCAAGCAGAGGTGTAAAGTCCAGGGGTCAGAAAGTAAACGTCCTATCCACCCATGAACTGATTTCACTGATTAGTTCTCCTGGCTGAAAAACTGTGCAAATGAGCAAATCCAGGTGATTGGAACAAAATACTGAGGAGGTAAAATACTTTTACCTTGTGAACCTGGACTTTACACCTCTGTAAGCATGTTACTAGCATGAAATAACATGTTGTTAGCATGTTGCTAGCACGCTGCTGGTGCGAGTCTTGTGTCGCTGGGTTAAACGCTCCTCATGTGCGCAGACACTATCCGACGCTGAGGAACCTGGAGAAGAAGCAGAAGCTGGTGGAGGTGAAGGAGCAGCGAGGAGACGTGCTGGAGACGCCGCAGTTCGGGTGCGTTACTGACCGTCGCTGCGTGCCACTGAGTGATTGACAGATGATCTGAGTGATTGACAGATGATCTGAGTGACACGTGATCTGTGTGCAGGCGTGTGAGGAGCCGTGGCGGATCGAGTCAGAAGCGACCGACGCAGGAGCGAGACCCGCTAGCAGTGCTAGCCGACAGTGAACCCGGTCAGAAACATCAGAGATTCACTCACGCTCTCCACATGTGACACCACAGATGAACTGTCAAATAATATGTGCGTAGTGTGTGTGAAGCACCCGTAGGGCTTCTGAAGCCCAAAGTGGGCGGAGCCATCTTGGCAGCGTCAGTGAGGTGAATTATGTGGGTCTATCGGAGTGATTCTCTTCTGCAGCGCCTCTAGTGGCCAGTGGAGGAACTGCAGTTTAACTCACCCAGTGTTGATTCAAGAGAGAGACCGCTTGGTTTCGCTCGGGATAATCAACCGTCTTGTTCTTTCAGAGTCGGATAAGGACGAGCCGCAGACGGGACTCTCTGTCGCCCCCCGGTGTGTGACCTCTGCCCTCGGGTCACTGATGTCCAGCTACGGGGACGCCATGACCAGCAGCGACAGCGACGGAGAACCAGACGGTACAATCCACAGTAGTTAACTGATTAATAAAATGCTTCGATCGAGGATTCAATCTCTCTAAGCCCCGCCTCTCTGAGAGCTGCTGTGCTGTGATTGGTCAGAAAGCAAACGCTCATTAGTGATGCGTACAGTGACGATGGCGTGGGTTTCACCGTCTCAGTCTCAGAAAACAGCGTCTCCTCGACACGAACAACACGAGCCGAACTCTCCCAGTCTCAGATACACTAGTGTTTGAGGGCGGGGCTAAGAGACGCTGCTCAGCCAATCAACACCACGGGCTGGCATTATGCTAATTAGTTACAAACCCTGTGTTGTTGTGTTTCTTGTGTTGTTGTGTTTTCCAGTGCTGTCCGTCATGAAACATCTGATCTCTTGTGTTGTGTGACTCTCAGACGGTGCTGTGTTGAGAGCGACTCTGGCTGTACAGGAGAACAAGACATTACTGGCTGATGATGCGCTTCCTGTCCAGAGGGACACCGAGAAACAAACAGACAAGCAATCCCATCATGCCCCACAGCAATTCCATCATGCCCCACAGCAATCCCATCATGCCCCACAGCAATCCCATCATGCGCCACAGCAATCCCATCATGCCCCACAGCAATCCCATCATGCCCCACAGCAATCCCATCATGCCCCACAGCAATCCCATCATGCCCCACAGCAATCCCATCATGCCCCAGCCAGCAGAGGAAGGGGAAGAGGAAGAGGAAAGGGGAGAGGAAGAGGCGGAGCTAACCCTGCTGAACCCCAGCGACATCGAGCGACACTTCTGGAGATGGTCAGTGACACACATTTTAATCCGGATTCAGAAATGCCCATAACCCCCGGTCTGCCGCTCTAATGACCCGAAGCCCTAACATTACACAGACTATTTTAGGTCCAGAAATCTTATTTTATTTCATTTTGGGGAAAACTACATTTTTATGCAATTTTTTTTAATTAGGTTTGATTAGTCATTATTAAATTAATTATAATCTAAACACATTCCTCATTTTCTTTCCATTTAAATTCCATATAACTCACACTTTCATGAGTAACCCTTTTAATCAGCTCTAAAGATCTCACATCGGGAGTCTTTGCTGATCCTCATGTGGGAAATAAATAAAAAGCCCCTCTGATGAACACTCGATTAAAAAAAGAAAGACCCGAGGGAAGGATAAGGTGTGTTTGAAACCGCATCTAACCTGCAGAAGTGTGTGAATGAGTGTGTGTGTGTGATGTTGATGTTCTTCGCCTGTGTTTGTTGCGCAGCTTCTGGCTCCGGACATTCGCCACGAGAGGAACGTCGTCCTGCAGTGCGTTCGCTACGTCGTCCGCCGTGGGTTCTTCGGTCTGGCTGGAAAAAACCGGCACGAAATCGACGTGTGTGTGAAGGATGAGCGCGGTGATGATGTCACTGGGCGCTCGGAAACCCTCGGGTGTGTGGACGAGAGTCCGGCCGGAGCGAGTGTGTTCCAGCAACTGTTCGCTCAGGGTTTGGTGTGTGACGATCCAGAGCAGACGTGATCATCCAGACTCAACACACACACCGGGAAACTCACCCGGTCATGTGACGAGCACGTGATCGACGGGGAGAGACACTGAAGCGCTGGAAGTGTGTGTGAATCTGCTCAGACGCTCCTCCCGCAGCAGGACAAATGAACACGGGAGTTTTTATCGCACAGTTACAGACTTTAACCTGCAGTTGCAAATGTAGAACTCACAATTCTGAACTTGTGAACTTCAGAATTGAGTCGGAACTGAGAGAAAAATCTTAATTGTAAGATATAAACTCGCAATTCTGACTCTTTTTACAATTATGAGATACAGTCTCAGAATTGCGAGTTATAAAGTCTGAATTGTGAGAACTCACGATTGCAGTGAAAAAATTCAGATTTTATGAGTTTATAAGTCAGAATTGCGAGACATAAACATGTGTTTGCAAATATATATATATATTTTTTTTTTCTCACAACCCGGATTTTTTCTCGCAAACGCAACTTTTTTTTCCTCACAATTTGGACTTTTTTTTTCCAACTGTGTCTTTTTAACTACCAAATCCGCCTTAAAAAAAAAAAAAGCAGAATTGTGAGTCGGAGTTGCGAGAAAAATCTGAATTGTGATATGAATTGGCAATTCTGCCTTTTTCCCTTGTAATTCCAATGGTATATCTTGAACTTTTTTTCACAATTGTGAATTGTGAGGAAAAAGTTGCTTAAGTTTTTTTTGTCGGAAACGAGCTTCCATAGATTTTTTTTTTTTTTTCTTACAAATTATGCATTTGTTCTTTCAAAACAAAAGATGACAACAATACAAATGAATTTGATCTGTGTAACACTTCCATTAGTTTTCTGCACTATAAAGCAGGTCAATAAAGGAAGTGCTTGGACGTGTGTGTGTGTGTGTGTGTGTGTGCTCTTTGATAACAATCTTTAATATGAAACTGCATTTTTCCATCTTAAAAATATATCTAAATTACACCATATCCTCTCATTGATGAATGCGGGACAGTTAGTTCATGCGTTCATGACATCAAGGCTAGATGACTGTAATGCTCTACTGGGTGGTTGCCCTGCACACTTAATAAACAAACTCCAGCTCGTCCAAAACGCAGCCGCTCCAGTTCTTACCAGAACCAGGAAGATTGACCATATTAGCAGACACACTCTGTCAGTTCAAATCTAGACTAGAAACACATCTCTCCGGCCTAGCACACACATACAACATTATGCATTCCTATTATTCAAATAAATGATTATTAGGCTGCATAGATTAGGTCAGAAAGATCTGTACTCGTTACGTCATAAGAAGAATGGCGTCCACACTAGTGTTAGTCTCTGTTTATCCAGAGGTTCATGCAGCCTAAATCATAATGACACGCCGTTTGTTCGTTGGAAGAAGAGAACCTGGTTTCTCTGCAGGTTTTTAAGGTGTTGTCGAGCACTATTACAGTAAAGGTGATTGATTCGACTTGACATTGGATCTGGATCAGTCTTCAGCCGCAGATGTTCATGCGTCACATCCATCAAGGGTGGAGAAGCTGACGTGTGTGTGTTGAGGAGTTCCTCAGGTAACAACACACACACACACACACACACACACACACAACAAACCTTCATCAGCTCTTCAACACGTACCGTAGATCAGAACCACTCCGTCTCAAAGTGACTTTTATTATGCAATTAAAACGAATAAATATCAAATTACTGCCTGTGGATTAGTTTTCATTTATGTGGTTTCGTCCGCGCTTTATAATGTGGTACCATTTAACATTAATTTCATTAGTTAAAATTAAAATTATTATTTCACTGTAACAGGGACACCTTAAAATAAAGTGTAACCCAAAACACTTCTAAAGCGTTTCTTAGTCTTAATTGATGTTAGTTTCAACATTTTATAAAAAGCAAAGCATCATCTTTTAATATTATTTAATGGATCTGAGCTGTCATGAACTATTGAAAGTGTGTATATTAACTATAGCTAACTAACGTTTACCAACATTAATACACTGTAACGAATGTCGTTGCTAGTTAATGCATAGCCCTGGTAAAGGGTAAATCGAGCACTTCAATTAAATTAATTCACATTTATTTGTATCGAGTTTTTCCACAACATCGTTTCAAAGCAGTATTATGTATTTCAGAAATGTACATATACAAAATCACACTTAGCGAAAATGTTATTAATTTGAACAATGTAATAATTTAGGGCAGAAACAATGATCTCATTGAGTAAGTTAAGAAAGTGTTTACTTGGGGGTGGTGAATTATGGCCTTGTCTTGCTCCTGTTTATTTTCAGACATAATGTGCAATGTTATGTGTTAAGGACTGAAAGACAATAATACAATCATTTAATATTCCGCCGCAGCCTCGTGATGGGCGTGTCCTGCGCGCCTTGGCTCCGCCCCCGCCTGCGTCACCACAGCTGCTAGCTCCTCGGCTAGCGTGCTAATACTCTCAGCAGTGATGATGAGACAGAGACAGGATGAGACAGCAAACCTGCGAATGAAGCCATTTCACCCTTTTCTCTCAGGCCTGTGATTAGAAAACGCCACTAAAGAGGATTTAAACCGCGTTTCAGTCAATATTCAGTTAAATCGTGAGTTCGGACGAGCGTCTGCAGTGCTGAGGTGATGTCGACTGTGTTTATGTTCATTTATTAGCCGGCATTGAGCCGTTACTGACGCGTGTCGCTGATACAAACTCGTGAATATGTGTTTCGGTCAGGATACATGCTTCTGATGGATTTAGTTAGTTGTCAGTTAACTAGCTTGTGCTTTTAATGTGCTAACCAAGAGCTTAGCCTGCGTTGTTTATTATAAACACTCATTGATTATAAGAAACGCTGTGAGAACTGAACCTGTCAAAGTCTTGTTTGCTCTTTAAATGGGGACTATAAGCGGTTTCTTGACCTCACCGCACAGACTGTAGTGTGTTCATCAGCCTCAGTACTTGCTTGAGCATTTCTACATCTGTATAGGAGTCTGTTTCCCAGAATGCATCACTCAGAGTCCAGTGGTGAGAGCAGGCGGATGTCGCACCCGTCGGTGTTCGTCGGACGTCGGGGAAGCGGAGTCGCCGTCCCATCCGATGAGCACCAGACGCCAGCGCTAATCTCCCATCCGGCGGCCTCCGGCTCGTCCTCGCCCGGCCCGCATCATCACCCGCCACACAGCCTCAATGTCCAATCCGTCGCGACCCAGGGCAAGAAGAAGAGCGGCTTCCAGATCACCAGCGTCCTCCCGGCGCAGGTGTCCGCTAGTGGGAACAACAGCATCGCCGACGACACGGAGAGCTACGACGACATGGACGAGTCGCACACGGAGGACCTTTCCTCGTCCGATATCCTCGACCGAACCGCGGACACCGGTGTCCCGGTGCGCAGCTCATCGGAGGAGACGCTCAATAGTTTGCATGGAGGCGAGACGCCTGGAGTCACGTCTCCTAACGAACCGCTAATGCACCAGGGCTACATGGTCAACGGAGTCCATCATCATAAGACCGTTCAAGGGCGAGCTACAACGATTCCCGCCGTCCCAAGTGGATCCGTGCTAGTCGAGACCGGCGTATCCGCAACCGCTCCGGAAAGCGTATCCACAGCTCCTCCGACTAGCACAGCCTCTCGCTTCCGCGTGGTGAAGCTCGACTCGAACTCGGAGCCGTTCCGGAAGGGCCGCTGGACTTGCGCGGAGTATTACGAGAAAGACGCGCCGCCGGGAGACACGGCTGCTCACAGAGCGGTGGAGAGCGTCATACAGGCGGAGCTCGAGAGCACGAGCAGCAGCTCCTCTGGAAGCACTCTGAGCGGCGGAGATGCCCATGCTAGTCACCCGCTAGAGCCTCCATCCGCTAGCGTCCTGATGGAGAGCGTGTCTGTCCCGCGACAGACCAAACCTCCAGCATCTGGTGTCTCGCTAGCTCCACAGGAATACGCCGTGATGCCGCCAGTGTCACCCCGAGCCGGGTCTGTGTCCATCGGGATAGCAGGACTCCCTCCGGCGCCAGTCTCTCCGCGGCCCCAGACGTTCCCCGCGGAGCCGCCGCTCTCCTCTGCTGTCGCGCCGCTGAGATCCGTGTTTCCCGCCGCGTATGTGACGGCGTCGCAGCTGGAAGACGCGCACCGGCTGCTGCTACAGCATCACTCTCTGCTCTCTCTGACCGCGGGAGGCTTCGCTGCGCCGGATGCTACGGTAGCGCTCGGACCCGACGGGGCCGCCGCCGCCTTCGCTGGCTCCACCGGTGCTGACGAGGACAGGTAAGGGTTAACTCCGTCACCTGCTCCTTACTCAGGGTTTGATGGCTGTGATTGCTTTATTGTAATTGACATTTCCTTTTTATTTTTTTGTGAAAGTTTTAATAATTTTTTAATAATGTTTTTTTTTATTATTATTATTATTTATATTTTTTTAATTTAAAATTAATTAATATTTTTTATTTTAGTATGTAATTAAATGAAAATGTTGCTTTGTATTTTAATTAAAATGTTTTTATTTATAGCCGTTTTATTTTAGTTGAATTAGTTTTAAGTATTTTATTTTAATGTTTTTTTTTTTTTTTTGCTAAAGTTTTAGTATTTTATTGTATGTTTTTGTAATTTTATAAGTTTTTGTTTGGTTTAAAATATTTTTAATACATTTTTAATCATTTTAATTTAATATAAATTAATAGTTTTTTTTTTAGTCGTTAGGTTAAACTAAATGATCATTAGAAATGTTGCCTGGCTAACTACTTTAGATAAAATTAAATTAATTGATTTTTTTTTTTTTCAGTTTAATTAGTTTTTATAATTAATTTTCCATTTTAATATTTTTTTGGTAAAGTTTTACTAATTTTGTTGTATGTTTGTTATTTTTGTAAAATATTTTTTACATTTAGATTTTTATTTAATTATTTGTTTTTATTATTTTATTTTAGTACATAAGGTTAAACTAAATATATATATATTAGGATAATTAGTTTTTATTATACATTATCCATTTAAAAACCTTTTTTCTAAAATTTAACTAAATGAAAGTGAGATTGTGCCTTGGTAACTAGTTTAAATAAAATTATTTTAAGGCTTCTGTATCTATTTTGTTTCAGCTAATGTTTGTTCTATTTCGAGTAACAGAAGTGTGTGAGGGTTCAGTGTTCGTCTGTTCGCTCTTATCTAGTGTCGGACTCCTCTGAGGTCCTCAGTGTAAAGGGTGAATCTCCTGATATCCCATCATCCAGATGTTCGGCTCGTGCAGATCGATCGCTATGAACAGAATCTCTGGTTTGATGGAGAGTTTGTCCTTGAAAGAGTTTCGGTTCTTCACGTCAGACTCAGTGTGTGTGTGTGTGTGTGTGTGTGTGTGTCCGGCCAGTCCTGCGCCTCCAAATATAGCGCTCGGTTCTCCCAGTTACTCCCAGTTTGTCCTGTAGATCCTCCCAGTTTCTCTCTCTTTCTCTCTCTCTCTCTCCCTCCCACACACACACACACACACACACACACTCTCTTTCAGTCGAAGTGCTTTAAATTCATAGCACGCCACAGACACACAGAAATCCAGTTCTATTCACTTAAATCCCTTTATTTGCATGTTTATAGGTGTTGGCAGCTCGTCATTGCTGACGGATTTAATATGATTGAGTTTTATCAGAGGCTTGTTGTGGTTATAACGCATCATCAGCTGATCAGATTAATCAGCCGTTAGTGGAGCAGCTGATGTCCCAGAATGCAACACATCACAGCAGCGCTGATGACATCATGTCTTCTTCTCATGTAATCTCGTTAGTGTTTGTTAGCTCGTGTGTTTCTGCCGCTCAGATTCACAGGATCTTCATTTGAGTTTCAGGAAATGTGCTTTTTTTAGACCATGTGACCCATTAGTAGTGTGAACCAATCAATCAATCATTAATCAAAGTAGGTCATTAACTACGTGCATCACATGATTCTAAATCAAACACCAGAGAGAGCGAGCGAGTGTGTGTGTGTGTGTGTGTGTGTGTCCAGTCCTTAGCTTATGATAGGGTGCTTCTAATCTTCTCTGACTGATGATGTCATCAGTGACATCACAGCTTCACCTTAACACTACCAGCGCACTCACTCACACACACACACACCTTCAGCACTGGATGTGGTTTGGCGTGAGGCTGGTTTGATTGACAGCTGCATGATGATGATGATGATGATGAAGATGCTGTTTTGGGAACTAGAGCGCTGCCGCAGGTGAAACACACACACACACACACACTGATGGGAGCCGGCTCAAGATGTGGATCTTGATATTTTGTATCTTTACGTAGTTTTATTAGTGTGTTGTTCATCAAAATAATCATTTAAACCAAATTTGCATCGATTCAAAATGTAAAAATGCGAAATATCATGTGCATTATATATTATGTGCAGAATTTATTTTAATAATTTATTTGTGCACATCATCATTATTGTGTTAATAATGTTGAATCTGAATAAGTTCGTCTTGCAGCATCTCTTTTCTGATGATGTGGGCGGGGCTATAACCTGTCACTCACATTAGATCAGCCAATAGCAAACCACAACCATCCAATCAATTCCCCACAGACACAATCAAGCCCCGCCCACATTTGTTATTGCTCCAGAAGCGTTTCACTCGATATACATTATAGAGAAAAGAGTGCAAATTCCCTTTCATTATGAGATTAAAGATTACAAGAGCATAAGAATTAAAAAAATAAATAGTTTATAATAAATACAGCAATGTTTTATAAAAAATAAGAATGGCCTGTTTTGATTTAAAATGGACTTAGTGTAGTGATTAAGCAGTGATTGTGTTTCCAGACGCAGGAGGGGCGGGGCTCCGCATAGATTAGGCAAACAGCCCGCGCTCTCAGCCAATGGCGTGCCGCCGTGCGCGGAGCTGTTATTATGCAAATGCGCCCGTGGCTGCAGACTCTCGCCGATGTGAGTCTCTCATTCAGAGTCTTTGTGTGGAAAACACCGGCGCCTCACCGAATAAACCACGAGAATGTGACATTTGGCGTGTTTCTCGGCTCTATTCGACGCGTTCATGGGCGGGATAGCATGAGTTCTCCGTGTTACACGGTGGCGATGGATGTCGGTGTTTGTCAGCTCAGGAGTTTTTCCATCTCGTTTCTGTCGTCGGTTCTGAGCTCGTCATCCGTCAGTCTCGAGAACAGGTGAATATGGCGATATTAATCATCATAAGCTGAGCGACGGGTGTAAATATGATGTAATGTAATAAGCGGAAAGCCCCTCATCTGATGCTCGAGCCTTTCAGTTTCGATTGCTTGTAATCTTCTTCTTTATTGAGGACTAGATGTTACGCAACACCATCAGAACCGCGAATGAATAAACGTGTTTCTTCTTCCTCTTCTTCTCCCGCAGTTCTTCAGGAGCCAGTGTAGTGGCCATAGACAACAAGATCGAGCAAGCCATGGTGAGTCCAAACTCATATTCCTCTGATGAAGATCATTATTCTGCTTCACTGCGCGTGAACATCATCTTTACATAAGCTGGACGACACAAAGGCTTATGACAGCTTTAATAATGGAGTCATGCTGCATTTAACACGCCTTTATAGATGCTCGCTATGCACAATTATTGAGTTATTGTTTATGATCATGTCATATATGGATGTGTATTGACATGCATCTGAAGGTAAGTTGGGAGCAGTCATTGGAAACTCCTCGTTTTTGTCGTGATGTTTCCCACAGTGTTTATATCGTGTGTGTGTGTGTGTGTGTGGGGCCTGTGGCTGTTGCTAGGCAAACGCTGACACGGATGCCCTGAATAACTGAGCAGCTCCTCCCTCTGGATGAAGAACATTCTGTTCCTCTTCTGACTGGATGCAAAGATTATATACCGGCAGAATCCCTGATGAGGAGAGCTGAAGCGAATACAGACAAATGAAATCAATGAAAGGGACTTAATTCTCATGGAATATGAAACTGTGATTGGGAATTTCTATAGATGTTCTGCTCGTAGTTGTTTAGGGTTAGAAAATCCTCCTCATCCAAACTACAGAAAACAAAAGACGGGGTTATTATCTTCAACCAGAACATTAAAACATTTTAGTTACCAAAATAAACATAGGTCATATTTAAAAAAAAATGTAATTAACTTGATATAAAAAAAAAATGCACAAGAAAATTACTAAAAATTAATTATAAAATTACATATACAATGTTTATTTTTTATACAACTTTGTTTACACTGACATTGATATTGCGTCCATAATGTCAGGTTTCTATTTCTGATTATCAAACAAAAGATGATCGTGTCAGGCACTGATTACAGAATTTAATGCGAGTCTGAATATCATTTATAGCCGCACTGAAAGCGACATACATAATCCCCTCAAATCTTAAAAAAATACATGGAAGGAAACAAGGTTCAAACTGTAAACAAACAAATGTGTGATATGCCTAGAGATTGTTTAAGTTATTGGGTATGTTTTTTTAATAATGTTAAAATGGTGTATTATTTATGACTTTTTATCATGTACTAACTAATCCGTTTGGTTTCGAGGGCAGCGGCCTTGAGAGAGACTCCGCCCACGCACTCTTCTAATTGGCTGTGATTTTTGATTGATTTGATGCGGTGCGATTGCAGAGACTCTTCTGATTGGTTGTGATATTTGATTGCTAGTGAGGTGTGCTTGCTGAGAGACTCCGCCCACACACTCTTCTGATTGGCTGTGATTTGATTTTGGTTTCGCCACTGGAATCTTGTGGCATCGCTTCGGGTTGTAATAAGTTTACAGTGTGAGACTCTGAAGTGCATGTTTGAGGGTTGATCCTCCGCTGTACAGGAGTGAGATTCTGATATATTGTGACGTGTCCCTGCAGGACCTGGTGAAGAGTCACCTGATGTACGCGGTGCGCGAGGAGGTGGAGGTGCTGAAGGAGCAGATCAAGGAGCTGGTGGAGAAGAACTCTCAGCTGGAGCAGGAGAACACGCTGCTGAAGAACCTGGCCAGTCCCGAGCAGCTGGCCCAGTTCCAGGCGCAGGTCCAGTCCGGTTCTCCCACCTCAGGGGCCGCGCCGGCTCTCACGCCCAACCCGGGCCCCGGGGCCACCGCGTGACGGCCCCCGACCACACTGTGAACGGACTCGCGCATGAACATTTGCCACGCTCTGACCTCATCGCACACCTCGCTGTCAAACGCCACGCGTCAAGAGCTTCACCCGCCTGAGACAATCAGCGCTCAGCCAACCGGAACCGGGCCGAGCCGGAGCCACATTCTCCTCCTGTTTTTATGATGATTTCGTTACTGGTTTTATTTTGTTTGCCTTTTATTTTTGTTTTAGCTGTATTGAATAAATGAGCACTTTGTAGTCGACACATAAGACCAAACGAAGGCGAATGTGAACTTTGACCTCAGTGTTGTGGGAATCCGGGACTGTTTAGAGGCTCGAGTGTTTGTGTGTAAAAATAAAACATGGGGCCATGAATCAAGTTTCACGATGAGAACGAAAACACACACACACACACACACACACACAGACTTCCTCACGGACTATTAAGTTATTTGCCTTACAGTACATCGCTCCGGTCAGTGATCGTGACCCTTGACCTCACAGTACATGCATGTTTCCTTCAGATGATGTGACGTCATGCAGTTGCACATTGACTTTAATAAATGACCGTGAAATGAAAGCCGGTGTCGTGCTGCGCTTCATGTTACGCCTGTGGACTACTAGACTAACTTAACTTGAGTCATGAAATGATTCATTTAGTTATTAACAGACTGACTATCATTTATGATTAACCCTTTAAAGCCTGACACAGATAATCATTGTCAGAATGATCCATTTTTAAATGGAACGGGTTATTGAACATTTAGACAAGATATATATTTTTAAAGTGTTTTATGTTGAGTATCTTATTCAATCCATTTATGGCTCATAATAGTCTGATATAGTGAGAATACGGAGGAAAAACAGCTTTATTTTATTCAGATGTGCTGCAGATTCAGATCTCTATATGAAATGCTGATGCTTTAATATAAATCGATTAGATCTTTATAACGGTACAGCAGATGCTTATTAAATGCATGTAATGTGAATGCGAGGCCTGATGCAGGAGCTTTATAGGGTTTATCTGTGTTGACCCTCTGTGTGACCTTTGACCCTCTGCCCCACAGCAGCAGCGCTTGAACGTCTGAAGCCTGGGGTGCTTCTCAATATCCCTCCTCGTCTCCTCGCTCCTCCGTCCTCCCTCCTATGACCCGGAAACCGATCGAGCTCAGCCATCTTGAAGGACATCTCAATTCTCTAATTGCACCGTGAGGAGTCGAGGATCGAGGAGATAGGAGGCTTCCTGAGGAGTCATAAGCGAGGATACACAGGTGCATCCTACGCGGAACTGTTATATTGACTAAACGTGACGCACGTGTCAATTCTCCTCCCCCTTCACATCGGTCACAATCATTTTAATTTATACTTTACCTTTGCAGTTTATATAAACCACACATCTCTGATATTTCAACAGTATAGCCTATCTTTATTATTATTTATTATTAATTTATTAAATAACCAAACTTTAACAACATAAGGGCAGATCCTTTTAGCGCTGCTGATGACACTGTGGAGTGACGCTCGAGTCATCAAGTACTCCAATGTATATAAAAAAGCTTTTATTCGATTCCTCTGTCCTCCTTTCCTTTCCTCGCTTCCTCCCCTCGCGTCCTACAGGGGGTGGAGTGGAGCTGAGACGCAAGGAAAGGAAGCAAGGAAAGGAAACGAGGAAGCACAAATAAGAAATGAGAAGCACCCCTTGTGTGTCTGAATGTGTTTCCTGTTTGTTCGGAGCCCAACAGGAAGTGTCTCCTCACAGCCTGAGGTATTCTCCATCAGGAGTTCAACGTAAACAATACAGTGTTTGTTCAGCGGATGTTAAATGCACTTTAATCTGCTCGTGATGTCGATGTTAATGCAATATTACTTTGTTCTGAACACTTTATTTGGACGTTAGTCTAACTTACAAAAAATGTTTCAGAGAAGATTCACAAGTAACATTCTCATAATAGATGTTCCCTTAGTGTCTGGATGTTCTGAACTTTCATAAGTCAATGGGAACGTTAGAACTGGGTTATTATGACGACTTTAAGACGACTCTAGACCCAAGTCGATCAGATGAGGCAACACTTCCCATTGAATGTTTATTTTTCGCAAGGTTTTATTGAAGGACTGTAGAACACTGAACGTTTAAAATATCATAATGACTTCAATCAATACTCTTATGAAAAATGATATTTTGTGCATTTTATTTTAATGTAAAACTGCTGGGAAACTCATGAACTAGTTGTGCTCAAACACACGTCCCCTGAACATCGCAGAGATGAGAAGACGAGCCCATGTCATGTGAGCCTGTGCTTTATGCAGCTTGTCTTTATGGATAGGGTTGTCAAAGGATTCATTTGAGCTGGTTCTAGTTACAAGTGCATTTAAATACATAACAAAATACTGATTGAAGAACATCTCACTAAAAACCTGTTTTAAGGTTTACATGTAATGTGATGCTAAAAAACATTTAATGAACTCTGCCTGAAAAAAAAAAAAAAATAGAACTGTGCGTGTCAATTCAATGAAGTTTAAATTCCACATTGCATAGTTTGACATTGAGCATTTTCATTTAGAACAAGCCATGGAATTTTTTTTTTTTTTCTGAATTTTTGAAATGTGGAAATTTTTCCCCAAAAAACGCCATACCTGCTCAAATTAGTTTAACTCAGTGTGTGTCCCGTTGGTCAGTGCGTGTTGCATAGTTTGACATTGCGCACACAACCATTCAGTCTGTAGCTATTTTCAATTAAAGCAAGCCATGAAATTTTTTGTTGTTGAAATAATTCTACTTTTTTTCTTCAGAATTTGATTTTTTTCTGAATTTTGGAATGTTTCAGACCACAGAAATGTGAAAAAAAAATCCTCAAAATGCCATGCCTTGCTTGTATTAGTTGGAGTGTGTACTTGTGATTGGTCAGAGCTGGTGTTCCTGCAGGCGAGTGCGCAGGTCGCGCAGCTGCTGCTCCATGTGTGTGACGTCACTGCGCAGATGCCAGTGTCCCGACTGGGCCTTCATCAGCTGACTGCGCAGACGCTTCAGGACCGCCTCAAACCTGCGCTGCTGAATCTGAGCAGAGAAACTCCAGTCTTTATGTACACAGCGCTTTACAGAGATAACAGAACAATAATGCAACGGCATGAAATCCGTCTTGTAATTGATGAAGTTTGCATCATTTTTCAAGTGAATCAATCCTAACTAACTTTATCTGGACAGTAACTGTATTCTAGATCTGCTGTAAAGCATAAACACTGTAATCTCCTGTTGCTGTGTAACTATGAGGAAGGAGACTGGACTGTGATCCTGTACTGTATAAAGCTCGCTTTACCTCGATCTCTCTCCTCAGCTGTGTGTGTGTTCGCTGTTCCTCCTCCAGTTGAGCTTTCCTCTCCCTCAATGTCCGTCTGCCTTCGTCAATATTCGCCTTAAGAACGTCAATTTCCTTCTGGAAAGATCAAAACAAAGCATGAAGTTTCCATCCACCTGCTTTATGCAGATGCTTTATTACAGATGCACTTTTATGATGGATAGACGCACTTTTATGATGGATAGATGAACTTTTATGATGGACAGATGCACTTTTATGATGGACAGATGCACTTTTATGATGGATAGATGAACTTTTATGATGGACAGATGCACTTTTATGATGGACAGATGCACTTTTATGATGGACAGATGCACTTTTATGATGGACAGATGCACTTTTATGATGGATAGATGAACTTTTATGATGGACAGATGCACTTTTATGATGGACAGATGCACTTTTATGATGGACAGATGCACTTTTATGATGGATAGATGCACTTTTATGATGGACAGATGCACTTTTATGATGGACAGATGCACTTTTATGATGGACAGATGCACTTTTATGATGGACAGATGCACTTTTATGATGGATAGATGCACTTTTATGATGGACAGATGCACTTTTATGATGGATAGATGCACTTTTATGATGGACAGATGCACTTTATGATGGATAGATGGACTTTTATGATGGACAGATGCACTTTTATGATGGACAGATGCACTTTTATGATGGACAGATGCACTTTTATGATGGACAGATGCACTTTTATGATGGACAGATGCACTTTTATGATGGATAGATGCACTTTTATGATGGATAGATGAACTTTTATGATGGACAGATGCACTTTTATGATGGACATATGCACTTTATGATGGATAGATGGACTTTTATGATGGACAGATGCACTTTATGATGGATAGATGGACTTTTATGATGGACAGATGCACTTTATGATGGACAGATGCACTTTTATGATGGATAGATGCACTTTTATGATGGATAGATGCACTTTTATGATGGACAGATGCACTTTATGATGGATAGATGGACTTTTATGATGGACAGATGCACTTTATGATGGACAGATGCACTTTTATGATGGATAGATGCACTTTTATGATGGATAGATGCACTTTTATGATGGATAGATGCACTTTTATGATGGACAGATGCACTTTTATGATGGATAGATGCACTTTTATGATGGATAGATGCACTTTTATGATGGACATATGCACTTTATGATGGATAGATGCACTTTTATGATGGACAGATGCACTTTATGATGGATAGATGGACTTTTATGATGGACAGATGCACTTTATGATGGACAGATGCACTTTTATGATGGATAGATGCACTTTTATGATGGATAGATGCACTTTTATGATGGACAGATGCACTTTTATGATGGATAGATGCACTTTTATGATGGACAGATGCACTTTTATGATGGACAGATGCACTTTTATGATGGACAGATGCACTTTTATGATGGACAGATGCACTTTTATGATGGACAGACGCACTTTTATGATGGACAGATGCACTTTTATGATGGACAGACGCACTTTTATGATGGACAGACGCACTTTTATGATGGACAGATGCACTTTTATGATGGACAGATGCACTTTTATGATGGACAGATGCACTTTTATGATGGACAGACGCACTTTTATGATGGATAGACGCACTTTTATGATGGACAGATGCACTTTTATGATGGACAGATGCACTTTTATGATGGACAGATGCACTTTTATGATGGACAGATGCACTTTTATGATGGACAGACGCACTTTTATGATGGACAGATGCACTTTTATGATGGACAGACGCACTTTTATGATGGACAGACGCACTTTTATGATGGACAGATGCACTTTTATGATGGACAGACGCACTTTTATGATGGACAGACGCACTTTTATGATGGACAGATGCACTTTTATGATGGACAGATGCACTTTTATGATGGACAGACGCACTTTTATGATGGATAGACGCACTTTTATGATGGACAGATGCACTTTTATGATGGACAGATGCACTTTTATGATGGACAGATGCACTTTTATGATGGACAGACGCACTTTTATGATGGACAGACGCACTTTTATGATGGACAGATGCACTTTTATGATGGATAGATGCACTTTTATGATGGATAGATGCACTTTTATGATGGATAGATGCACTTTTATGATGGCTTGAGGGTGAGTAAATCAGGGACTACTTTTTGGCTGAACTATCCCTTTCAGCAGTGTGTGTGTGTGTGTGTGTGTGTGTGTGTGTGTGTGTGTGTGTGTGAGAGAGAGACCTGTGCCTGGCGGACTGCTTTGCCGGCGGGGTTCTGCAGATCCGTCTTCATCTCCTTTAGAACACACACCTCCTGCTGTTTCTGCTGGAGCTCCTGATGGACGAGAGCTCGAGTCTCCAGCGCCGACACCGCGGACCGGAAGCTGAGAGTCTCCGCTCGATACGAGTCGAACTCCGCCAGCTGTGAGCGCATCAGCTCCTGCTGCTCCTCCACGGAGTGTGTGAGCCGCAGGTTCTCCAGCAGAATCGACTCGATGTGTGTGTTCAGACTGATGATGCTGCTGCGGATCCGGTCCGTGTCGCAGTAAATGACGCTGAGCTGCTTCTCCTTCAGACTCACCGCAGAACACACACACTCGCAGCTCTGATCCACATCTGCCAGAGACGCCTGCAGGACACACACACATATACAATTTGGGGAAAAAATGACTCGGGCACTTTGAGCTGATGATGTTCTGTGTGTTTTCTGTGATTGCTCATGCTCTTTACACACACACTGAACAACATGAAGCATTGATTGGTCACTGGTTGAGCTAAACTGGTATTCTCTAATTGTGTAGTTCAATTTAACAGCTGACAGATATTCAACATAATTCATGTGTGAGAGTCCAACAGAAGGACAAAACCAGTCAAAAGTTCATAACTTCGAGTTCTGCTCATATTTATCACCGTTTTCTAAACTATAGGGTATAAACTGATAAAGCAAGAAATGTTGAAGGAGTCTGAATAATGTTGGTTTTACTGTAAATCATCCGGGACAGTGTGAGAGTGTGTGTGTATGTGTGTGTGTGTGTGCACGCGCGTGCACCTGTAGCGCGTGTAGCTGTTGCTGCGCGTCTCTCAGCTCCCGCGCGCGCGTCGCGCCCTGATGAAGAACCTCCTGTAGCGCGTTATTCAGAGGAAAGTCCTGCTGTCTGAACACAACAAATTGTGCTCATTACACACTTATACTTAATTATCTTATACTTAAATATCTTAATGTAAAGTGGCTTGAGGAATCAGAAACGAATCAGTCGTCTCAGTTTGAACGGTTGTTTTCTGTCAGAAGCGTCAAATGCTGTCGACAAAAGCGAGCTAACTGGTTATCAAACAATATTTTTTTACAGTCTATGAACAATACATACACAATTTCGCAGTCTACTTTTTGATAAGATGAGAATTTACTGAATTTCCCCCAGAAATATAGCGGATAAACTTTACCTGTTCTTTTCCATCATTACAGCGGGAAAGACGGATGACGGAGTTGCGCTTGCGCGTCAATAATGTTATTTTAGAATCGTAAAAGGTCACGTTTTTGTAATTTTGTTGTTTTTATCATTTTTTTATTTTATATAGTTTAACTAATAGTTTTGGTTGTTTTAGTGCTTCAAATTAAACCAACACAAACGTTTACTGACAGATATAAACCTCAATGCTTGCTCTGTGTGATGAATTGATTTTGTTCCTCTGTCGTAGGTCTCTTTGTATAAATTGTATAAATGTAGATGTTATTGAGCTGACAAAAGTGTAATGTTATGCTTAAAAAAGTTCTGTAAACATTCAAGAACATTATCCTGTCCTGTGAGGAAGGAATGTTTTAATAATTGTAATCTAACCTTATAAATATCGTTCTAATTGAGATAAGAAAACTGGACATTTTAACATTTCAGAATTTTCAAGTTAATTTTCCCACAACGTTTTTAGAACAAAAATGAGGAAAAAACTCGATGGGGGAAAAAGTCGCATTACCGTTATATATTTTCTATTAGATAACCTTAGATATTTTTTTATTCCCTGGCGGAAATAAACTTCCATAATTTAAATAACATTACAAGAACAAATGCAACTCTTAACAAATGTTCTGATGTCCAATAGTGACTTACAACAAAATATCATTTGCATTTTTTGGATTCATACATACACCTACCTAGTACCTACTCATCTATACTACACATCCCACGAGCCAACGTGCTGGTGACGTTTCCACGCACCATGTGATGTTCCTGGGTTTCTCCTCCAGGGGTCGCTGAAATCTCATTTCCTTTCTGTTTTAATCTTTCAGCAAATCGTTTTGTTTAAAATTTAAACTTAACTAATATGGTTTACAAAAAAAATTGAAACTTTCACTTGCAATCTATATTTAAATAAAAATATTTAATCGTCGATGACCGGTAATCTCAAACGACTGTGATTGGTCCATCCTGAACAACGCAGAGAAAAGTAAGGGCTATTGTGTCTGACCAATCAGAGACAGCGCCGGCTAAGAAGCCACGCCCTCTAAATATCGCTGGTTTCTTCCCGGTTTCTTCTTTTCTGTGGCCATGTGTGTGCTTGTGCTTTACTGACCTTTACTTTCATAGAGATGACCAGTAAATGGTCAGTTATCATGACAAAATAAACCTAAAATAGCCATCTGGAGTGACTTATGAACTGTCATCCTCCATTAATATGTTTTTGCTGTAATGGTTAGCTTGTTGCTAATAAATGATCGGGCTGATGTCGGCGGCTCTGCTGCGGATCCTGAGGCGCGCTTCGCCTCGTCTTCAAACTGTGAGAAACTGCAGATCAAACAGCCACAAAACTGAGGATTTCCTGAAGAACGAGGCGGTTCAGAGACGCATTAAACGCGTGATGGACGAACAGAAGAGTATCACTGCTCGTTTAGAGAGAGAACAGATGACTGAGTCTGACAGGAGGGCTTTAAACCAAACACTAGTGGAAGCGTCGAGGGTCATTAACGCGTTTGAGAAAACTCAACTAGCGCTCAGAGAACTGGCAGAGATACAGACTCTCATTCACAGTGAGTGTTCTCCACATTCTCAGTGTTCTCGGTGTTCTGGGTTCTCCACATTCTCTTTGTTCTCAGTGTTGTCCATGTTCTCGGTGTTGTTCATGTTCTCTGTGTTGTCCATGTTTTCCGTGTCCTCCATGTTCTCTGTGTTCTCCACATTCTTGGTGTTCTCCGTGTTCTCCATGTTCTCAGTGTTGTCCATGTTCTCCGTGTTGTCCATGTTCTCCGTGTTGTCCATGTTCTCAGTGTTGTCCATGTTCTCAGTGTTGTCCATGTTCTCAGTGTCCTCCATGTTCTCTGTGTTCTCCACATTCTTGGTGTTCTCCGTGTTCTCCATGTTCTCAGTGTTGTCCATGTTCTCCGTGTTGTCCATGTTCTCAGTGTTGTCCATGTTCTCAGTGTCCTCCATGTTCTCTGTGTTCTCCACATTCTTGGTGTTCTCCGTGTTCTCCATGTTCTCTGTGTTCTCCATGTTCTCAGTGTTGTCCATGTTCTCCGTGTTCTCCATGTTCTCCATGTTCTCAGTGTTGTCCATGTTCTCAGTGTTCTCAGTGTTCTCAGTGTTCTCCGTGTTCTCAGTGTTCTCCATGTTCTCCATGTTCTCAGTGTTGTCCATGTTCTCCGTGTTCTCCATGTTCTCCATGTTCTCAGTGTTGTCCATGTTCTCAGTGTTCTCAGTGTTCTCCGTGTTCTCCGTGTTCTCCATGTTCTCCATGTTCTCAGTGTTGTCCATGTTCTCAGTGTTCTCCGTGTTCTTCATGTGTTCCAGACACCAGTGCTGAAGAGCAGCAGATGCTTGAGCTCCTGCGAGAGGAACATGAGTCGCTGAGCAGAAGAATAAAGCAGCTCAACGCGAAGGTTTGGACTGTTGTTCTTTCACTCGTCCATCGGGAACGCTGTCCGGAGAGTCAGGTGTTGTTTTCCCGTTGCAGCTGATGGAGGCGCTGGTTCCCGCCGAGGAGCTGGACGACAGGAGTGTTGTGCTCGAGGTCGTATCGGGACGGACCACCGGAGGTTAGATCACAGTCCCGTCAGACACCAGAGGCTCGCTGACGTGTGTGTGTGACGTGTGTGTGTGTGTGTGTGTGTGTGTGTGTGTGTGTAGGAGACGTCTGCCAGCAGTTCTCGCGAGAGATCTTCGACATGTACCAAGGCTTCGCCTGCTATAAACACTGGGACTTTGAGCTCTGCAATTACACTCCGGCAGATTACGGTACGCCTCACGCAGCGGCGCAGGGGTCCTCAGACCCATAAACCATACCATTATAGTGTAGTGAAGTACAGCAGTGAGTTCAGTAAAATAAATCATTAGTTATTACGAAATATTATGGAGACAATTTGATTTAAATACAAAAACAAATGAGTAAAAGCGTAATAAATATGGGGGAAAAAATTTGTTATTTGTCTATTTAATAAAAATACATAAAGTATTAGTTTTTAATTTTAATGTGTGTGTGTGTGTCTACATGACTGTGTGTGTGTGTGTGTGTGTGTCAGGAGGGCTTCATCACGCTGCTGCCAGGATCTCAGGGGCCTCTGTGTTTCGCTGGCTGAGGTTCGAGGGCGGGACTCATCGAGTGCAGAGGATTCCTGAAGTCGGTCTGTCGTCACGCATGCAGCGAATCCACACGGGCACCGTCACCGTTATAGTTCTGCCGCAGCCACGGGAGGTCAGTTGGGATACATTTTTAATTAATCATAACTATCCACAAGTTTCCTACGCCCCATGAGCCCTTGCGTCAAAAGTGGGCGCGACTTCCGGTTGGAAGTAAACAAAGTGCGATTTGACATGCTTGACACTCATTCAACAGCTGACAGTCATTCAAGTTATAGCGATCCAAACTAGCTAACGATGTGGGAACACAACCTCAACGAAATTAAAAAGGGTGAAATAACAGTACCTTTACCCTCCGCAGTAGTTGATTGGGAGTATTATAATAACATTATTAATTATCAATACTCATCAAGGCATGGTGACAGACAGATGTGCGAGCTGACAAACAATTAAAATAAAAAATACACACTTAGTCATTGTGCTTTGAAGTTTATTCAAAATTATAAATGAATGTGTTACTTGAATACATTAACTGGCACATTTGGTATTCTGTCAACCTGAGTTTAGGTGTAACATCAGAAGCGAACAGCCAATCACATGCTGTGAGAGTTTAGAGAATATTAAGAATTTAAACAAATGTACACAGGAAGATTCGTCGTCTTTTGGGAGCTGATGGAAACTAACGTTACAGTCCTTGGCAGGATCAGAGACGGGCTCTGGCAGGATCACTCTGATTTCGTTTTCAGCTTATGTTCAAAACAATCCCGTTTAAGCCACTGAACTAGTTTAGTCCGGTTATAAATACAACCGCGAGCAGCACATGTTGTCCCTGAGCTCCGTAACGACATCTCTCATAAAGATTTGTGTCTTTAAATAGTAAAATAATTCTCCGAAAAACAGCTAGCCTCTTCGCTTACTAACACACAAAATACCATTGGAATGCTACTTCCGTCGCGTCACCGGAAGTTTCACCCACTTTTCTTTTTTTCAGGAGTGTAGTGCGCAGGGGAAACCATCGATCGCTGTTCAGCTGCGTCGTGTTTGTGTGTAAGCTTGTTCTGATGTGTGTGTGACTACAGGTGGACGTCCACATCGCGGCTAAAGACCTGCGTATCGACACGTTCAGGTCTCGCGGCGCCGGCGGACAGAGCGTCAACACCACCGACAGCGCCGTACGCGCGGTTCACCTGCCCACAGGTGCGGGTACGACACCACACAGGGTTATGACATTTAAAGGGACAGTTCACCCAAAAATAAAAATTAGCCCATGATTTACTCGCCCTCAAGCCCTCCGAGGTGTATATGACTCTCTTCTTTCAGACGAACACAATCAGAGTTATATTACAAATTGTCCTGGCTCATATCTGCAGTATATCATGGGCTAATTTTCAATTTTGGGTGAACTATCCCAATAATATTTCTGGTTTGACTGCATGACACTATTGCTGTTTACAGCTGAATTTGTGTCATTGATTCTGTTATTTTCCTGTTTCTGGCGGTGAATCTGGACTCAGTTTAGTCTTCTGTCCTCAGGAACGGTCGCCGAGTGCCAGCAGTTTCGCTCTCAGCTGAAGAACCGCGACACGGCGCTGCGTGTTCTCCGAGCGCGGCTGTACCAGTGCATCATGGGCCAGCAGAGAGAGCAAACGCACAGTGCTCGCAGACAACAGGCCAGTTCACCAATCCAGTCACACACACACCTGATGATGTCAGTCGTTTGCTTCTCCAGTAAATGTGTCTTGATTGAAGAATGTTTTGATCTTTGAAAACGAGACCCGGAGGAACTACATCACTGTTTGATATTAACATTTATAATGACTTTTAATAACATGTGTTTGTGCGTCTCAGGTGGGCTCTCGATGTCAGTCGGACAGAATACGCACTTATAACTTCAGTCAAGATCGAGTGACAGACCACAGGATTGGTCATGTGACGCGTGACATCAAGGTACTGTTCTGAATGCTGGTGATCCGTAAGGGGGAATGAACATCCAGCTGGTTGATCTCTCAGAATAAACCCTGACGGGGGATCAGGGACTCGATTGACCAATCAGAATCAAGTATTCCACAGAGCAGTGTGATTATAACCCACTGTATCATATCTGAAATGAGCTCTAAATATTGAACATGATCTGATAAACCCGTCGATCTCTCGAGTCTTTATGACCTGAAATCTGTACTAGTTTTTATCAAGTGAACATGAGAATAACTTTGATATTGTTAGTAATACTTCAGCTGGACTGAATCAGGTTTACCTGATTATCCAGACATCATTTATTATAAAAATCACAAGTGTCAAATATGATCATCAGAAATTTGAGGAAGGTTTATTTGTTCATCTCTCGATCATTATTGCATTGCATTATACGTTTTAAAACGAAAGAGCTTTGATCATAAACTAAGCATCACTGTTTTCCCCAGAGCGGCTACATAAACATATATATAGACTAAATTAATAATCTTTTTATAACAGAAATTAACCATCAGTGTTGTCTCTGTAAAGCTGCTAGACTCTGTTGTAAAAATCACTATAGAAATAAAGGCGACTCGACTTTAAGTATCATCTGACTAGGACATATTATTGGCAGATATTGATATGCATTTTATGTCAGTATCTGCTACACAGTTATGAAGATCTCATTTATTTACAAGCATCAGAATTACATGTAAATATCAGCGTCTGCAGCAAACAGCATATTTTAATAACATTAAACCATGTTTTCCTCTATATTCTCACTATATCAGACTATATGAGCCTGATGGATCGAATTTGATACTCAACATAAAACATACTCAATTTTTTTTTTTTACATTTCATTTAAAGGTTAAATAACTGTTCTATTTGATTTTTTTTACTATCATTTTATATACCAGGTTTTACAAGGTTAAGTGTCTCAGCAGTAAAAGTGTCCACCTTGTCCCAGATCAGTCCGGTGTGTGTTTGTGTGCAGGCGTTCCTGCGGGGCGGACCGGATCTGGAGGACCTGATCCGAATCCTTCAGGAGAAACACGACCTCAAACTCGCCGACATCAGCTGAGATCCACACACACTTCCTCCACGTGTACATATGAAGAGATCAGATGCAAAAGCCTCTAAGTGCCATTTGAAATTTTCTTCTAGAATGATCATTTTTATCAAGCTCGTATATTTAAGTTGAGTAATTTCACTTAAATAACAATTAATAGGTAATTATCATTGCCATTTAAGTGAAATTACTGAACTTAAATATACGAGCTTGATAAAAATCATCATTAAAGAAGAAAATTTCAAATGGCATTTAGAGGCTTTTGCATCTGAACTCTTCATATTTCCTGTCATTAAAATATATTTTATACATGTACAAGCAGCTTCATTTCTACAGACTGGCAGATCACATGACCATCAGTCTTTATGTCTCATGTTATTGAGCTGGGGGATTTTATGGCATATGTTTGAGTATGTCCCACATTATGTGAGTATAAGTTATACATACGGTTTAAGTTTTCATTTTGTGGTGTTCATCATGAAAAGGTGGTTGAGTGTTTCTGATGTGGGTGGAGGACGATATCATACGATATCAGACGCTCACAGACTCCTAATGACACGATATCAACAAAACACACTTGTATCAAACCCCATTTGTTTCTTCTAGATCTGCTGTACAGGAGAAACAAACCTAGTTGCATTATTTTCCTGTCATCTCTGTAAAGCTGCTTTATAAACGTAACTTGACTTGATCAAGAGTTCTCAGTGCACGAGGATCAATCAATAGAACACTTAAACACAGGAAAGGAACTGGAATTATGTCGTTTTAATGTAAAAAGTTTTAATGTCATTTGAGGTGAACGTCGTGAGCAATGAAAGTCTCAGTTCATCTGTAAGACATTAAGTGATAATTAAACTATGGCTTTAATTCTTCAAACCAACAATTACAAATATTCTAAAACACTTGCACAACAGTATGAAAGCTCGTTTCTGCCATGGAATAAAAAAAAATACAATTGCTAGCTTCCATACACCCGAGATATTATCACTTAAACATAAAAGCAAAACTGATTCCTGGAAATATTCACAAAATAAGTATTTAAAGGCAGTTAAAACGTCGCCTGCCAACAATTTATAAAATACAAAACATTGTGAAGCGCCGAAGCGGTGTAGACTCGGCTGAGAAGCTACTCGTCCTCGCCCCTCTGCCGGAGGATCCGGGATTTGCCGTTCTCGGTCTTCCTCTTCCTGAAAGTGGTTCCGGCGCCGGCTTCGGACCCCAGAGACGTGATGGTGCGCTCCTTAAACCGGGGCCGGGGCTCCGGGGGGGCGACGGACGGAGTCGGGGCGAAACTCTCCACCTGGGGGAGCTGCAGATCCACCTTCTCACTGCAGAACACACACACACACACACACACACGTTTTGAGTGAAAAAGCTATCGTGTAAGTGGCCCCTAAGTTAATAACTAATGATATTTGCAAATTGCAACAGATCCTAACACTACAATTTATACTGTTAACTGATCTGAATCATATGTCCAACTGAACCGACGAACTGAACCGTCTCAGACGTTACGCCGGAAGTGATCTCTCGTCACGCATTGTTTACACGGAGATTTCGGGAGTTTTACCTTTCACTTAACATATTTAGATATATCGAAATCGTCTTCCATTGCGATTTCCCGTGTATCTAAATATGTTTAGTGAAAGGTAAAACTTCAGAAATCTCCGTGTAAACAATGCGTGAAGTAGACGCGCGAGAGATCACTTCCGGCGTAACGTCTGGAGACGGTTCAGTTGGACATCTGATACAGATTAGTTCGAACTTCGACGGCTGTTAAGAGGTAAAAACTATATAAATACTGTTCGTTTTCTCACACAAACCGCTCGTTTTGTGTCTTAGGCCATCAATGTGTACTTACATTTACGAGTCATTACATCATGTTTGATTTTGACTTCTCTGTGCTGCTCTTTGAGGTGGACCAACCAAAAAATGCATTAAATGACTGACAGACAACACCAGTTTGACCGAAAAATGTCAAAATTGAAAATACCGTGGAAACAAAGACACCTACATCTTGGATGCCCTTGAGGTAAGCTAAAACATATCAAAAATTCATTTCAAAGTGAACTATCCCTTTAATCGCACTAAATGATTGGAGAATCCTGCATATGTCACCTCGGGCCAGTAGTTCAAAGGTAAGCTGATCGGATTTGGGTTATCGGATTGGATCAAATCTTGAAAATGGGTTGTTCAAAAGGGAAAGAAGGAATCTGAAATCAGATTAGATCAGGGAATCCTATCCTAGTTTTAATTTGGATCAAACCTTCAGTTTGTGTTGTTCAAAACTTGTCTGTGGGATTTGGATAACTTGATCCAAAAAACAGGATTATCTTCTACCTGTTCTTTACATAGCTGGTAGCCCACATTGTGATATGTTGTCCCATTTAGAGCACTGGTTTGGTAATTTGGTAATCTTGAAAACTGTGTATCTGGATCAGGGTGATCCAGTCCAATGTTGCTTTGAAAAACCGGCATAAAAGTAAGACGTTATGGGATTTCCAAATCCGGATAATTTTGATCCAGATTAAATGTTTTGAACAACTGGCCCCAGAAGATCCAGTTATGACAGCCTGATTAAAGATTACAAGGATCAAAACTTTTTTAAAAATACAAAACATGTGCACAAATAACTTGGTCGCAATAAAGATTAATAACGCATTTAGAAAATAGATTCTAAATGCATGTTATAGATTTAAAAAATAGTGGATTTGCATGTCACGCCAACTGTAAATGTATTAATATTTAGGCATAATCAGAGGAATCTAGTGAGTCTCCTGATTTTAGGCCAAAACTGGTCTGACGTTATAAGCAAAAACAGCAATTTTTTGGTCAGAATACACTGAAGTGTTGCAGAGATATAGGATCATATCCATTTTGACGTGCTCTTCGAATTCATTCACAGGTTATCTCGAGAATAACTTCGAATTGACTTGAATTCCATTTTTTTTTTTGTTGCCAAAAAGTTTGAAAAGGTCTTTTTTTGGGGGGGAAATTCAAAATGGCAAACATTTTTTAAATGGCTTCAGTGGGCCAATGGAGACTAACGGATAACCGATGCTTACACTCTTAACTAAACCCTAACAAATTAAACTAAAATTAACATTATAAAACATTGAAACTAAAAATATAAAAATAAATGCTTACTCAAAATATTAATAAACCTAAAAAAAAACGTTAACGAATTTCTTTTTTAAGTGTAATTCACCTCACAAACACAGTGTTGTTTTGACTAGCATCTGATGAATATGCTATAAGAACACATTATTATTCTTACTATGGGTCCACCACCGGCGTGATCCGTTCCCAGGATCCGTATGGATTGATCTTCCTGGCTCTCTTCACAGGGATCACGGTCTCCTTCTGCGCCACCGGAGCACTCGTTTCTTCCTCCGTCTGCTCAGCGTTCCCTCCGTCGGCTGGGGTTTTCTCTCCTCCGTCGGCTGGTGACGTCTGGATCGGCTCCTCTTTTCTCTTCTGTGTGGAGAACAGACACACTGAGGTCGTACAGGAGTGTGTTTGCACAGCAGTTATTTTGCTTTATTTCCAGATTCAATCATGACCCGTTCTTGCACACTAGAATTCGTTCACACACACACACACACGCTCTTCAATAACAACGCTTTCAATCTCTCGACACACTAAAGACGTAATACATAATGTGAGATTGCACCGAATGTCAGATTGCTTATTCTGCTCATGATCAGGATTTATTGAGTCACATGTCATGCAAACGGGAAACTGCTTCTAGCCGCAGCTCGGGATCTGTCCCTCACACACACTCCTCTGCGAATGTTTGTTGGATCGATGGTTTGAGGAAACACGACTCGTTGAACTGCGGATAACGACAGAACCTGCCACTATAGTTGCTAACGATGCTTTGGGGAAACGCACCGCTGAGTGAGTGTGTGTGTCTCACCCTGAAACTGATCTTCACCCCGCTGGTGTCTTTGGTCTGCTCTGGTTCTGGCTCTGGTTCTGGTTCTGGTTCTGGTTCGTCTTTGGGAGGGTCAGACGAGTCTTCTTCTGCAGACGGAGGCTCGGGATGAACGGGAGAAGAGTTTTCCGCCGTCATCATCGCGTCACGAGGAGATTCAACGCCAGGAGGAGAAATGTCTTCCGAAGTAAAGCCGTCCGGTTTTTCCCAGCGGGATTCTGTCAGGATGAGAAATCAAACAGGTTTTTCTGAACAGCCTGACAGATGATATAACGGTCTGATGTTATAAAGTTACTGTCCAGATAAAGTTAGTTTTGATTGATTCACTTCCGTTGTAAAGATCATCAGTGATTAGCTTAGGGGTCGCTAACAGAACACAGAAACTATAGTGTGCTCCGGCCGTTGGAACTGGAATGATTTAGATGAGGTCTCGACTGTAGAGGTGAAGGGCAGAAGGCCTTGTGTTTAGATGTGTTTGTGAAGAGGTTTCTTACCGCCGGTCTGTGTGTTGTAGTAGTACATATAGCCATCGGGACTCACGGCCTCCATCCACGCAGCGGCTGACGGATCCTGCGACATGTACACGTGATGTTAGATCTGTAACACACAACCTCAGGCTCACACACACTCAGACGGACGAGTTTAGCTCACCGGCATGTGTCCCACGACTGATGATGACGAGCTCTCGTCCAGGAACCCGTCCGGTCTCTCCCACTGCGACTCTGAGAACACAGACACACAGTGACTCGAGAACTCGAGAACACGGACACACAGCGACTCTGAGAACACGAGAACGTGGACACACGGCAACTTGAGAACACGGACACACAGCGGCTCGAGAACACGGCCACACGGCGAATCGGAGAACACAGACACACAGCGACTCTTAGAACACGACGAATTGGAGAACACGGACACACGGCGAATCGGAGAACGCGAGAACATGGATACACGGAGAAATCGTAGAACACGAGAACAAGGACACACAGCCAATTGGAGAACACGAGAACACGGACACACAGCCAATCGGAGAACACGAGAACACGGACACACGGCGACTCGATAACATGGACACCCGGCGACTTGGAGAACATGGACACGCGGCGACTCGAGAACACGGACACACGGCGACTTGGAGAACATGAGAACAACGGTGACTCGAGAACACGGACACACGGCTACTCGGAAAACACGGACACGCGGCGACTCGGAGAACACGGACACACAGCGACTCTTAGAACACGACGAATTGGAGAACACGGACACAGCGAATAGGAGAACGCGAGAACATGGACACACGGATAAATCGTAGAACACGAGAACAAGGACACACAGCCAATCGGAGAACATGAGAACACGGACACACGGCGACTCGATAACATGAGAACAACGGTGACTCGAGAACACGGACACGCGGCGACTCGAGAACATGAGAACAACGGTGACTCGAGAACACGGACACACGGCGACTCGGAGAACATGAGAACAACAGTGACTCGAGAACACGGACACGCGGCGACTCGGAGAACATGAGAACAACGGTGACTCGAGAACACGGACACGCGGCGACTCGAGAACATGAGAACAACGGTGACTCGAGAACACGGACACGCGGCGACTCGGAGAACACGGACACGCGGCGACTCGGAGAACATGAGAACAACGGTGACTCGAGAACACGGACACGCGGCGACTCGAGAACACGGACACGCGGCGACTCGGAGAACATGAGAACAACGGTGACTCGAGAACACGGACACACGGCGACTCGGAGAACACGGACACGCGGCGACTCGGAGAACATGAGAACAACGGTGACTCGAGAACACGGACACGCGGCGACTCGGAGAACGTGGACACGCGGCGACTCGGAGAACACGGACACGCGGCGACTCGGAGAACATGAGAACAACAGTGACTTGAGAACACGGACACACGGCTACTCGAGAACACGGACACGCGGCGACTCGGAGAACACGGACACGCGGCGACTCGGAGAACACGGACACGCGGCGACTCGGAGAACACGGACACACGGCGACTCGGAGAACACGGACACGCGGCGACTCGGAGAACACGGACACGCGGCGACTCGGAGAACACGGACACGCGGCGACTCGGAGAACACGGACACGCGGCGACTCGGAGAACACGGACACGCGGCGACTCGGAGAACATGAGAACAACAGTGACTCGAGAACACGGACACGCTGCGACTCGGAGAACACGGACACGCGGCGACTCGGAGAACACGGACACGCGGCGACTCTGAGAACACGGACACGCGGCGACTCGGAGAACACGGACACGCGGCGACTCGGAGAACATGAGAACAACAGTGACTCGAGAACACGGACACGCTGCGACTCGGAGAACACGGACACGCGGCGACTCGGAGAACACGGTCACGCGGCGACTCGGAGAACACGGACACGCGGCGACTCGGAGAACACGGACACGCGGCGACTCGGAGAACACGGACACGCGGCGACTCGGAGAACACGGACACGCGGCAACTCGGAGAACACGGTCACGCGGCGACTCGGAGAACACGGACACGCGGCGACTCGGAGAACACGGACACGCGGCGACTCGGAGAACACGGACACACGGCGACTCGGAGAACACGGACACGCGGCGACTCGGAGAACACGGACACGCGGCGACTCGGAGAACACGGACACGCGGCGACTCGGAGAACACGGACACGCGGCGACTCGGAGAACACGGACACGCGGCGACTCGGAGAACATGAGAACAACAGTGACTCGAGAACACGGACACGCTGCGACTCGGAGAACACGGACACGCGGCGACTCGGAGAACACGGACACGCGGCGACTCTGAGAACACGGACACGCGGCGACTCGGAGAACACGGACACGCGGCGACTCGGAGAACATGAGAACAACAGTGACTCGAGAACACGGACACGCTGCGACTCGGAGAACACGGACACGCGGCGACTCGGAGAACACGGACACGCGGCGACTCGGAGAACACGGTCACGCGGCGACTCGGAGAACACGGACACGCGGCGACTCGGAGAACACGGACACGCGGCGACTCGGAGAACACGGACACGCGGCAACTCGGAGAACACGGACACGCGGCGACTCGGAGAACACGGACACGCGGCGACTCGGAGAACACGGACACGCGGCGACTCGGAGAACACGGACACGCGGCGACTCGGAGAACATGAGAACAACAGTGACTCGAGAACACGGACACGCTGCGACTCGGAGAACACGGACACGCGGCGACTCGGAGAACACGGACACGCGGCGACTCTGAGAACACGGACACGCGGCGACTCTGAGAACACGGACACGCGGCGACTCGGAGAACACAGACACGCGGCGACTCGGAGAACATGAGAACAACAGTGACTCGAGAACACGGACACGCTGCGACTCGGAGAACACGGACACGCGGCGACTCGGAGAACACGGACACGCGGCGACTCGGAGAACACGGTCACGCGGCGACTCGGAGAACACGGACACGCGGCGACTCGGAGAACACGGACACGCGGCGACTCGGAGAACACGGACACGCGGCGACTCGGAGAACACGGACACGCGGCAACTCGGAGAACACGGTCACGCGGCGACTCGGAGAACACGGACACGCGGCGACTCGTACACGCGTGTGCATGTGGAGCTCGTGTGTGGCGTCTCACCTCCTGTGGTGGTGTTGTAGTAATACACCTGGCCGTCGCCGGTGGTTCCTCCCACCCACACATCGGGCCGGCTGCGGCTGCTGGCTCCTGATGGCACTTTTGCGGCACGTTTTTTGGGTTTTTTCTCAGTTTTAGCAGGAGGTTCTGGTGGAGGCAAACTCACACCTGCACAGAGACACGAGAACATCAGCTTGATCACATCCGTGACTGTAAACATGTTGAAAATCCGTGTTGGGGCAGCAACACATTACAAGTGACACGCATTGTGTAATCAGATTACTATTTTAATTTAAAGAGTTAAGACACGCTTTACTTTTTATGTAGTTTTAGTAATGCACATTACTTTTTAGTTTAATCAATTTGCTTAAACGTTTTAAAATCACTGAATTAAAATTCTCTCTCTTCTTCATAAGTCACTCATGCATGTGCAGGAACAGACAAAAAATACATAAGTAACAAAACATATTACTTTTAATAAAAAGAGTTGTATAATAGGTAATGTTAGGAGATCTTTTAAATGGTATATATCGCTCTAGGGCTCAGGAAATATTATATGCGCTCAGAATATAATAATATTTTAAATGTGTTTTAAAAGAAAACAATGTAAGCGAATTATATTGTTCTCGAGTGCATTAATGCATTAAACACTGTAAAACAAACACCTGCAAGGACTAAAAGAGAGCGAGTCTCTGCCAGGTGAGAAAAAGTAACGCAAAAGTAACGTATTACTTTACATGAAAAGTCAACACAAATAGTTACGTTTTAGAGTAACACAATATTATAAGACATTATTACTTATAAAAGTGACCGTAAACGAGACCTGACGACTGAGCCGTGAGTCTCTTCAGATCCTCCTCATACGCCTTCAGAGCCGCTTCTTCCATCGCCGCGAACTCCTTCGACATCTTCTGCTCCTGCTTGGCCTTCGCAACGCTTTTCTTCTTAATCTGTCAGGGACATTAACGGGGTCACATGAGCGCTGCGGGCCAATCAGAGCCTCGCACACTCTTATCATCACACACATGCAGCTCTGACAGCAGCAGCCAACTTTCTGTTTACCAGCTCATTTCACAGGACAGATGACCTCACAGTAATAAACAGAAGCAATGATGCAAACTTCATCAGATATGAGACACCTTCAAGTCAAGAAAAGACCAACTTTAAACGTAATGTATAACGTAAAAAAGTAACGTGACAGTGTGTTCGGGATGCTTTACTCAGAATACTGTGCAATATTCACCATACAATGTGAAATGCATTGTCACATGGTCACATTCCGCGTGAGTCGAATCGAATCTTTATCCCAGAAATAAAGTTATTCTGCCTATTAAATAAAATTTAGCAAGACTATCCCATGTCTTAAAAATGCCAAAGTGCAGTGCCCTCACACACACACTAAAGCCACAGGTTTGCAAAAAACGTTCAGAGCAGTCAGTATTCAAGGCTAAGCATATCCCATCATGCATTAGGATCAGGAAATCACAAGCCCTGAAATGACTAGATGTTGACAACACATTCCAATGATAAGTTAAATTAATTACATATTTCATATAAGTTGGTAGAAAAATGTAGTAATGCACATTTCCCTGGTGCACAGATGAGTAGGCTTTGCATTTCCAACTTATTTTTAATCACAGAATTTTAAATTGTGTCTTCGGTTACATAGGGACTACTGAACAGACATTAGAAGTTTATTTTGAAATGGAAAGTATTCAAAATAAAGTTCTGTAAACAGTTTTTGCAACACTAGTGTGTCCCATCGGGTAATCAAACGTTGTACACACTTGCAGTCTTCCTGCCTACTTGAACACTTGTGCCAAATACATGAAATACATCATGCAAGTAGACAAGTGCTCAAGTGCAAAGAGGACAGGCCCAATGATCGCACACTGAGTGCATACTGACTCTGAGTTCAGGAGGCAGTATGCAGTACTCTAGTGTTGTTATTGTTTCTTACCTCTGTGATTTTGGCCGCGACATTTTCCTTGTGATTCTTTCCTCTCTCGTGAAACTCGACGCTCTGCGTGGAAACACAGAAACACGTTCAGATCGAGTGTGGAAGAGAAGGGTTAGGGTTATGACTGATTCACTCACGGGCTTGTTATCTGCGATCCAGCACTTGCAGTACTGACAGAACTTCTTCGGCTGGGATTTCCAGTAATCAGCCCTGCATTACAAACACACACACAGACACACAGATACTTCACTGCATTAGCGGATCGTTTACACTTCGAGGCTCGAGCTCGTGGAATGTCTGTGAAAAATCCACGTGATTACTTACATGATGAAGGATAAATTTCTTCCCTTAAATGTTCATAAATGTTATAACTTATACATTCTACATGCTCACTGATGAGTGCCAATTGCTGTCACTTAAAGATGACGTCACTGACCGCGCGACAAACCCGTGATGAAGGATTGGAAATGTACAATTAAACAAGACTGAGAAATATGATGCTGAATGATTACTTAATAATCATAAACTACATTAAACCATAAATTGATGCCTCATTGTATACGAACACACTTGTGAGTGGATGTGTGAGTATAAGACAGCGTCCGGCGCGTGTATGAACAGCGCCTCCCATATGGTCTAGCGGTTAGGATTCCTGGTTTTCACCCAGGCGGCCCGGGTTCGACTCCCGGTATGGGAAGACATACTTTTTCCAGATTTGCCAACATAATTAAAGTTATTGAAATTCATCACTAATCATTTCTAGTTAGTCATAGTATTAGATGCATTGACGAACTACAGAAACAAGCAAGATATGTAAAAACTCTATAAATGCTGTTGAATTCAGAAAATGTGTTTACTTTATGTATCATAATTTCAATTTAGTATGTCATCATTTAAATTTTTCATTTCATAATTATGACACACAGTCATCATTTTAATTTCAACTTTTTAAGTCATAATTTAAAGACAGAATTAAATACAGAATTACAATTTTAGTCAATTACGACTGTCATAAAGCGTTTTTAAGTCATAATTTGGTTGACTGATCACTTGATTTACAAAAATGTTTTTTCTTATGTAGTATTAATGGACATATTTCACTCAAATATGGAGAAAAAGAGTAAATCTTCTGAGAGCATGAGGTGATCTTCAATAATAGATTGTAAAAAGGCTCAGATCCAGAGCGAGACTCAATAAATGTCTCATCAGCATTAGAGACACGTTCATCATCACTCGTGTAATCAGTGCCCAGAACACACACACATCTCATTACAAAACAAACACAAGTTTATTTGGACTTTAAACACAGACACACTCTTTAAAATCTCAGTCATAAAGAATTATTTAAGAAAACGGTGCCACGTATACAGAAACAATGTGCAAACATGGAGCTTTTAAATATATATTTTACACAATAAAATCAGAAAACAAGAGAAGAAAATAAATACAGTGCATAGAAATAGTCAATGAAAAAATAATCACTAACAGTGAAAGTGCAACATCGAATGAACACAAGAACAATTATAACCAAAACAATTAAGTCAAATATGCTTTTAAACGGTGCAATAACTGGATCATTGAGTGCACGTCGTCTGTTATCAAGTTAAAAAAGAATATTAATCGTATAAACACAGTGACAATAAAGTGTTCGACCTGTAAAGAGTTAAAAAGTGTGGAAATTTGGTTAAAACCATTTGAAATCACAAAAATATTACAAACTGGTTGTTGAGTTCCAGTGGTTGTTTGAGAAAGAAACGCAGCAGGAACAGCTTTAGCAGCAGGTTTCGATGATCAGTGTGTGTGTGAGGACTTCCTGACCAGCAGGAAGTGACCTCATGACCTCAGTAACACCCGTCCCGCCAGCTCCCGTCCCGCAGCGTCGACAGGCTCCTCGGCGGCGTCAGCAAACTGGCCGAGAACAGAGAACATCACAAATTAGCATAATGCCAGCCTGTGGTGTTGATTGGCTGATCAGCGTCTCTTAGCCCCGCCCTCAAACACTAGTGTATCTGAGACTGGAAGAGTTCGGCTCGTGTTGTTCGTGTCGAGGAGACGCTGTTCTCTGAGACTGAGACGGTGAAACCCACGCCATCGTCACTGTACGCATCACTAATGAGCGTTTGCTTTCTGACCAATCACAGCACAGCAGCTCTCAGAGAGGCGGGGCTTAGAGAGACTGAATCTTCGATGGAAGCGTTTCAGACAAAATCAAATTAGTTAATGCACTTTGAACTATCATGAACAAGCTGGATTTGACTTACAAACATTACTGTAATATGTATTTCTCATAGGTAGTTCATGTTAGTTAATACATAAACTAATGTTTATAAATGAGACCTTGATGTAAAGTGTTACCAATGAATGCATGCATTAGCTAATGTTAACTAAACTGTGAAGTGTTCCCATTAAAGGATGAGGAAATGGAAACAAACGGCTGGTTTTGGCTCAGCGGGTCTCAATTCTTCAAGATCTCGACCTGAATTTTTCATAACTTACTAATTTTAGGTTTTAATCCGAATCAGTTTGGAGTTTTAAGCAGCTTAGAGGATTTGAAGAAGCTGAAGATGAAGCTGATGTGTGTGTGTGTTTCAGGGGTCTCGTGGATAGTTCACTCAAAAGAGAGTTTTAGTGTCAGGACTACATTAAACTGCTATATATGAAATGTTGAATATGCACTGGGGGAATATTTGTGTAAAAAGTGGCCTACAATATTTTTCATACATCTAATTCAGTGTTTTCAGCTTCAGAATCATGAATATTGTTATTCTGGAGTCTCTATTGCCTGTGCTTTGGGTTCCAGCATCAAGTCCAACACTATTCACACACACACACACACACACACACACACTGTCAAATCAAATTTAGCCGTTTAATCAACAGTAAATTTTTTGTTAACCTTTTACCATATGTCTTGGAGTATCGTGATATTATTGCATCGTGATGTGTATCGAATCATGACATGAGGGTCTCGTTACACCCCTTAGTGTGTGTGTGTGTGTGTTTACCTGCGCACTGGAGCCGTGAGTTTGCCCCGCGAGCCACTCGCTATGAAGGACGCGGGCCGCGGTAAACCACTGCGCGCCGGGATCTGGGAGACGGACACTTTCCCACCGGACACACACTGGGAACTGGCCGACGGACCCTTGATGGTGGGACTGACGTAAGCGGTGGCTTTAAGTGTCTGACAGGACGAGAAGTTCCCGACACTCTGAACACGAGCTGGAACTGCACAAAACACACACACACACACACACACACACACACACACACACACACACACACACACACACACACACATCCTTAAGAAAGAAAATATCTTTCCCAATAGCCGTCATTTCTCCTCTAGGTTAACTATAGACCCGATGTAGTCCGGCTATGAGTAACACACTTCTAGCCAAAAGAGTTTGCTTGATGTATGATATTCCATCATGTGTGTGTGTGTGTGTGTGTGTGTGTGTGACGTACTGCAGGTCTGAAGCCGCGTCAGTGTCCCGGACGAGTCGAAGCTCTGGCTGATCCGCAGGGACGGGGACGCGGGAACGGACGCCATCGGGACACTCAGCAGGTTCGGCATACTCCTCCTCAGCTTATCTAAGAAAACATCACTTCCTGTTAGCTCTGCCAATCACACACACACACACATAACATGAACATGTTCTACATCAGATTAAAGCCCAATTACATTTGATGTGCTTTAAGAGGATTGAGACGCAGCAGAAAGTGTGTGTTTGATTTAAGATGCTTAAAGACTGAACATCAGTGAGAGTTTTACCCATCAGCCCGTTCAACTGCAGCCGGCGGGAACGTTCTCTCAAAGATATGAACAAATAGCATTCATAATGCATTATATCGGAATTATCTTTACATGTTTTAGATGTTTTAGTGTTTCTGAAAGAGTCTTTTCTGCTCACCAAGGCTGCATTTATTAGATCAAAACTACAGTAAAACAGTGAAATATTCCTCCAGTGTAAATCATCTGTTCTCTATGGGAATATACAGTAAAGTGTCATTTATTCCTGTGATTTACTCCAGTCTTCAATGTCACATGACCCTTCAGAAATCACTCTAATATGAGGATCTGATGATCAAGACACATTTTGTGGAAACTGAGATACATTGTATATTCAGGATTCTGTGATGACAGAACGTTCAAAAGAACCGCATTTATTTAAAATAGAATATTTTGTAACATTATAAATGTCACTTTTGATCAATTGAATGTTGGCAGAAGCTCCGGATTACAGCAGATTTTAATTTGCATACGGGTGTCGAAGCGTCTCTGATGCATCACGTCCTCTCAGAATCTGACCTGATTAATCATCATAATCACCTGCGCTGCTCCTGAGTCCGTGCGTCTGCGCAGGTGTGTGTGTGTGTGTCTGCGCTGCGCTGGAGAGCCTCCAGTCCCTGATGCTGCCGAAGGTGTGTGAGTGCGGCAGGGCTCCGGCGCGGCTCAGACGCGGCTGCGCGGGTGGCATCTCGCCGTACTCTTCATCCTCATCCTCCTCTTCCTCGTCCAGCTGCGAGTCGCTGCGCTGGAAGGAGAAGCTGATGCTGTGGCGCTTCATAGAGGAAGAAGAGGAAGAGGAAGAGGTGGTGGCGAAGTCCTGACGGAGACCTGGAGGAACAAACGCTCAACGTCATCTTTAAACAGTTAATAAGACACATTTCTCCAAGACTCTCATCACTGTAATGCAGTCTTGAACATCATGTGTTAATCTCATCTATATGAGCCATACGTCCCCAATTGATTGATCGCAATCTAATTTTCTAAATGTAATTTGAATTCCTTGTATTTTGTTGCGGGGTCAAACACATAACTGTGTTATTAAGTGGGACGTCACCTGTAATCAAACAAAACGGATATCCGTCTGTTATCGCGCCATGTTGTTACCGTTTAAAATGTGATATGGAGACAGTAAACCCGTCCTGGTTCAGGCAGACCGTACGATATCCTCACATGTGGATCAGCGATAAACCTCCTTCTGGCACAAACTCATCACGGAGCTTTTCCACTGGAATCCTTCACTTGCCTTCCTCATTCTACAAAAGGACGTTTCTGAAATATTTGGACTCCTTATCTTCGCTTCGTTAACTCTACCGCCGCATCTAGATCGCTGTAGATTAGCCATTTTTATTAGTGTCGTATGTCCTGAGTTAGTTGTGCTGAGGTTTGTTCTTGTCTGTTAAATTTAAATTTGTTCAAAAGAAAAAAAAAATATTCTCATGTTTATTTTGTTGTAAAGCGTGAGAAGTGTTAATATTAATGTTTTACGTGTTTTTACCTGATCTTTTTTGGTTTTTCATAGTGTGATTTTACTGCATGTTTTTCGGAGTAAAATGTTGTGTGAATCAGGCGAATGAAATATGAACAAACCTCCAAAGTGGAGATTTCGGACTAAGACTCAGAGATTGAAATCTACAGACACAAATTCACCAAGTGCAATAAAATAATGTTTATTCCGGATGTTTTTTCCCACTGATCTCAAAACAGCGCCTCGTCTTAAACTACAGTGCTGAATAATATTTACATATGCATAATCAGTAATCATACTTGTGATATTAGTGGAATGAACAGATGTGTGTTGTGATCTGTGAGTGTAAGTTCACTCACTCTCCTCCTGAAGTCTCGCCATCACCTGGACATCCGTCAGATCCTGCAGCTTAAAGCCCTCGTCCCGCTCACACACACTCGCTGACCTGTCCACTGACGGCTGAGAGAACACACTGCGCCGACCGCTGCGGCCTGTGAGGAGCAGCACACACACACACACACACACATCAGTATTTTGTTCTATCTAGTGTCGTATATCTGAGTGAAACGCTTCTGGAACAAGAACACATGTGGGCGGGGCTTGATTGTGTCCATGAGGAATTAATTGGATGGTTGTGGTTTGTTATTGGTGTATCTCATGTGAGTGACAGGTTATAGCCCCGCCCTCACCACCAGAGAAGGGAAGTGGATGATAAGTGAGTGTGTGTGAGTGAGTGAGTGAGTGTGTGTGTGTGTGTGTGTGTGTGTGTGTGTGTGTGTGAGTGAGTGTGTGTGTGCGTGTGTGTGTGTGTGTGTGTGTGTGTGTTACCTGCTCTCTCACAGGTGCTGCTGGGAAGAGGAGCACAGGGTTTACAGTGGAGAGGAGAAACACGAGCACGAGGAAAAACAGGAGAGGAGAAGCTTGACCTCCGTCCACTGACTGAAGAGACATAGAGAAGAACAACATACCTAACTGCTCTGTGTGTGTGTGTGTGTGTGATGTAAGAGGCCATTAAGTGTCAGCCAGAGAGACGGATGACGACAGATCATTCAGCACACGAGAGCCTTGAGTCTGTCAACATACTGATCAACACATGAAAGCAAACGGACAATATTACGAGTTCATATATATATGTGGCAGCGCATGAGTTCAGGCATGATTCTGTGTCTGTGTGTCTGAACATACGGGTTCAGTAATTACATGCTGTAGGGCACTTGGCATGAAGGGCTGATTGCTTTCATGTAGACACAGTTGCTATGGTTACCGTTCGTCTAACGCGGGCCGGATATAGCAGCGAGTCAAACGCCGGCCAGCAGCACTAGAGTCGGGCTGGGAACAGGTCGGTGTCTGTGTTTATTTAGCCGAGTAACAAGCTTACGTCTACATCTTGAACGCATTACAACCTTCCTAGAGTCTGAGCTGTCCGTCACACACGCTCATTTACATATTCATGAGTGGCTCCGCCCCCCTCTGACTGACTTTACTTGCTGTACATGAAACTTTGAGATGTTGATAATCTTCTCATTGGAGTTTGTGAGTGTGTGATGTGAGAGTCACTGACTTGACTTGACTGACCCTTGCTGACTCCCGCTGACTTGACTGACTCCCGCTGACTTGACTGACCCCTACTGACTCCCGCTGACTTGACTTGACTGACCCTTGCTGACTCCCGCTGACTTGACTGACCCCCACTGACTCCCGCTGACTTGACTGACCCCTACTGACTCCCGCTGACTTGACTTGACTGACCCCCACTGACTCCCGCTGACTTGACTTGACTGACCCCCACTGACTCCCGCTGACTTGACTGACCCCCACTGACTCCCGCTGACTTGACTTGACTGACCCTTGCTGACTCCCGCTGACTTGACTGACCCCCACTGACTCCCGCTGACTTGACTTGACTGACCCTTGCTGACTCCCGCTGACTTGACTGACCCCCACTGACTCCCGCTGACTTGACTTGACTGACCCCCACTGACTCCCGCTGACTTGACTGACCCCCACTGACTCCCGCTGACTTGACTCACCCCCACTGACTCCCGCTGACTTGACTTGACTGACCCCCACTGACTCCCGCTGACTTGACTGACCCCCACTGACTCCCGCTGACTTGACTGACCCTTGCTGACTCCCGCTGACTTGACTGACCCCCACTGACTCCCGCTGACTTGACTGACCCCCACTGACTCCCGCTGACTTGACTGACCCCCACTGACTCCCGCTGACTTGACTTGACTGACCCCTACTGACTCCCGCTGACTTGACTTGACTGACCCTTGCTGACTCCCGCTGACTTGACTGACCCCCACTGACTCCCGCTGACTTGACTTGACTGACCCTTGCTGACTCCCGCTGACTTGACTGACCCCCACTGACTCCCGCTGACTTGACTTGACTGACCCCCACTGACTCCCGCTGACTTGACTGACCCCCACTGACTCCCGCTGACTTGACTCACCCCCACTGACTCCCGCTGACTTGACTTGACTGACCCCCACTGACTCCCGCTGACTTGACTGACCCCCACTGACTCCCGCTGACTTGACTGACCCTTGCTGACTCCCGCTGACTTGACTGACCCCCACTGACTCCCGCTGACTTGACTGACCCCCACTGACTCCCGCTGACTTGACTGACCCCTACTGACTCCCGCTGACTTGACTTGACTGACCCTTGCTGACTCCCGCTGACTTGACTGACCCCCACTGACTCCCGCTGACTTGACTGACCCCTACTGACTCCCGCTGACTTGACTTGACTGACCCCCACTGACTCCCGCTGACTTGACTTGACTGACCCCCACTGACTCCCGCTGACTTGACTGACCCCCACTGACTCCCGCTGACTTGACTTGACTGACCCTTGCTGACTCCCGCTGACTTGACTGACCCCCACTGACTCCCGCTGACTTGACTTGACTGACCCCCACTGACTCCCGCTGACTTGACTGACCCCCACTGACTCCCGCTGACTTGACTCACCCCCACTGACTCCCGCTGACTTGACTGACCCCCACTGACTCCCGCTGACTTGACTTGACTGACCCCCACTGACTCCCGCTGACTTGACTTGACTGACCCCCACTGACTCCCGCTGACTTGACTGACCCCCACTGACTCCCGCTGACTTGACTTGACTGACCCTTGCTGACTCCCGCTGACTTGACTGACCCCCACTGACTCCCGCTGACTTGACTTGACTGACCCCCACTGACTCCCGCTGACTTGACTGACCCCCACTGACTCCCGCTGACTTGACTCACCCCCACTGACTCCCGCTGACTTGACTGACCCCCACTGACTCCCGCTGACTTGACTGACCCCTACTGACTCCCGCTGACTTGACTGACCCCCACTGACTCCCGCTTACTTGACTGACCCCCACTGACTCCCGCTGACTTGACTGACCCCCACTGACTCCCGCTGACTTGACTGACCCCTACTGACTCCCGCTGACTTGACCTGACTGACCCTTGCTGACTCCCGCTGACTTGACTGACCCCCACTGACTCCCGCTGACTTGACTTGACTGACCCCCACTGACTCCCGCTGACTTGACTTGACTGACCCCCACTGACTCCCGCTGACTTGACTTGACTGACCCCCACTGACTCCCGCTGACTTGACTGACCCCTACTGACTCCCGCTGACTTGACTGACCCCCACTGACTCCCGCTGACTTGACTGACCCCTACTGACTCCCGCTGACTTGACCTGACTGACCCTTGCTGACTCCCGCTGACTTGACTGACCCCCACTGACTCCCGCTGACTTGACTTGACTGACCCCCACTGACTCCCGCTGACTTGACTGACCCCCACTGACTCCCGCTGACTTGACTTGACTGACCCTTGCTGACTCCCGCTGACTTGACTGACCCCCACTGACTCCCGCTGACTTGACTTGACTGACCCCCACTGACTCCCGCTGACTTGACTTGACTGACCCCCACTGACTCCCGCTGACTTGACTTGACTGACCCCACTGACTCCCGCTGACTTGACTGACCCCCACTGACTCCCGCTGACTTGACTTGACTGACCCTTGCTGACTCCCGCTGACTTGACTGACCCCCACTGACTCCCGCTGACTTGACTTGACTGACCCCCACTGACTCCCGCTGACTTGACTCACCCCCACTGACTCCCGCTGACTTGACTGACCCCCACTGACTCCCGCTGACTTGACTGACCCCTACTGACTCCCGCTGACTTGACTGACCCCTACTGACTCCCGCTGACTTGACTGACCCCCACTGACTCCCGCTGACTTGACTGACCCCTACTGACTCCCGCTGACTTGACTGACCCCCACTGACTCCCGCTGACTTGACTGACCCCTACTGACTCCCGCTGACTTGACCTGACTGACCCTTGCTGACTCCCGCTGACTTGACTGACCCCCACTGACTCCCGCTGACTTGACTGACCCCCACTGACTCCCGCTGACTTGACTTGACTGACCCTTGCTGACTCCCGCTGACTTGACTGACCCCCACTGACTCCCGCTGACTTGACTTGACTGACCCTTGCTGACTCCCGCTGACTTGACTGACTCCCGCTGACTCCCGCTGACTTGACTCACCCCCACTGACTCCCGCTGACTTGACTCACCCCCACTGACTCCCGCTGACTTGACTGACCCCCACTGACTCCCGCTGACTTGACTGACCCCTACTGACTCCCGCTGACTTGACTGACCCCTACTGACTCCCGCTGACTTGACTGACCCCCACTGACTCCCGCTGACTTGACTGACCCCTACTGACTCCCGCTGACTTGACTGACCCCCACTGACTCCCGCTGACTTGACTGACCCCTACTGACTCCCGCTGACTTGACCTGACTGACCCTTGCTGACTCCCGCTGACTTGACTGACCCCCACTGACTCCCGCTGACTTGACTGACCCCCACTGACTCCCGCTGACTTGACTTGACTGACCCTTGCTGACTCCCGCTGACTTGACTGACCCCCACTGACTCCCGCTGACTTGACTTGACTGACCCTTGCTGACTCCCGCTGACTTGACTGACTCCCGCTGACTTGACTTGACTGACCCCCACTGACTCCCGCTGACTTGACTGACCCCCACTGACTCCCGCTGACTTGACTTGACTGACCCTTGCTGACTCCCGCTGACTTGACTGACCCCCACTGACTCCCGCTGACTTGACTTGACTGACCCTTGCTGACTCCCGCTGACTTGACTGACTCCCGCTGACTTGACTTGACTGACCCCCACTGACTCCCGCTGACTTGACTGACCCCTACTGACTCCCGCTGACTTGACTGACCCCTACTGACTCCCGCTGACTTGACTTGACTGACCCCTACTGACTCCCGCTGACTTGACTTGACTGACCCCTGCTGACTCCCGCTGACTTGACTTGACTGACCCCCACTGACTCCCGCTGACTTGACTGACCCCTACTGACTCCCGCTGACTTGACTTGACTGACCCCTACTGACTCCCGCTGACTTGACTTGACTGACCCCTGCTGACTCCCGCTGACTTGACTTGACTGACCCCCACTGACCCCCACTGACTCCCGCTGACTTGACTGACCCCTACTGACTCCCGCTGACTTGACTTGACTGACCCCCACTGACCCCCACTGACTCCTGCTGACTTGACTGACCCCTGCTGACTTGACTGACCCCTGCTGACCATCAGATGCTCGGCTTACATCAGACAATGACGAATCAACACAGATTGTCTTGATACGGTGTGTGTGCATTGAACATTTTGCTTGTGTCGACAAAGAACCAACCGGAGTCCAATCTTTGGCAGAGCGATTGTCCGGCGTTTTCCAGTTGATCGAGAACGTGCCGACACCATTGCAGAGCACTGAGAGTCGCGGCGGAGCACAGATGAGATCTGGGAGACACATAGAGCCTGAAGAGAGAGAGAGAGAGAGACAGTTTAACTGATGTTGGAATATTGCCTAAATCATGTGCAATAAAGCAGCGTTTCCATCTCATGTGTTTAAGAGAATAAAATCGTCACTTCCTGTGAAATTAGAGCAAAATGTCAGTAATAAAGTGTGAGTTTCTGCGATCGGCTGTGTTCCCTCCATCATAACCGAGTGTGTGTGTGTGTGTGTCGAGCGTCAGACGAAACAGTAAACGCTGTCGTGTTCTCTAGCGTTCGGGAACACACTCGTGTGTGTGAGACACTTCTGGAGGGAATTACACCCAATCATCTGATCACACACTTCGACTCCGTCGTTTCAGAAACACCAAACCAACATTAGAGACGCTGCGACGCCATTGGTCCACCGGTTACTCCAGTTATCCAATCACGGCTGATGCTGAGGGAAAGTCACACGAGTTTATGAGGGATTTATTCAGTAAAAGTGTTTCCATCATAGTTTATGTGCATGTCTTCTTATCGGATATGTGTGTGTGTGTGTGTGTGTTTTATGCTCATCTTGGTGTTTCCATCCAGTGTTTTTATGCAACATTCCAAAATGAGCATAAAGCAGGTGGATGGAAACACTGAGCTCATTACTTCTACATTAAATTATTACATTGACCATCAAGCTCACGATGAGCTTCTCCTGCACTGCAGGATCTCAGAACAACATCACAATCCAAAGCTGGAGCTGAGAGAATCTGGTTCATCTGTCAACTTCACATCTCCTCATGCGGTTGACCATTTAGGGCAGTGAGTGTGTGTGTGTGTGTGTGTGTGAGAGAGAGAGAGAGAGAGAGAGAGAGTGTGTGTGAGTGAAAAAGAGAGTTTGTGTGTGTGTGTGTGTGTGTGTGTGTGTGTGTGTGTGTGTGTGTGTGTGTGTGTGTGTGAGAGAGAGAGAGAGAGAGAGAGAGAGAGAGAGAGAGAGAGAGAGAGAGTTTGAGTGTGTGTGTGTGTGTGTCTCGACAACTGTTACACTCCAAATCTTTCAGTCATCATTGAGATCACAGTGGACTGACCCAGATCATAATAACGGTGTAACATATGAATGTATGCATTAGCAGTGATGAAGATGAAGATGTTTATTCAGAGTGATGATGATGATGATGATGATGATGATGATGAAGATTAATGATATTAACACACAATGGACTCTCACCAGGTCTCCTCGGACTCGCCGCTCGGACTCACGGTCTCCAGGTCCAGCAGCATCAGCTCGTCCAGGAGCGCGCGCGGCTCTTCTTCATCTTCATCATCATCATTATCATCATCATCATCATTATCATCATCATCATCCGCGGAGGAATGCGTCCGGAAATACGGCAATGGACACGCGCCGCTCGGGCACGCCGGGGAGGGCGGCGCGATGTTCGCTCGCGTCCGCAACCGCGCGTTCTGCCGCTCCAGTTTCCGCACAAGCTCCTGCAGTTTCTTCACCTCCTGCTCGGCGCGAACATCATCCATCATCTTCATCTTCAGCATCATCTTCATCACCCGCGCGCTCGCCGGTGAAGAAGAGTCACTGACGGAGGAGCGCGTGGGATCGAGCGGCGCAAACCCGCGAGACGCTCCACCAATCAGCGACGAGGAGCGCGAGACTGTCACACTCTCTCCACCCAGCTCTCTCTCTCACACACACACACACACACACACACACACACACACAGTCTCCCTGTCTATTTCTCTCTCTCAATTTCAATATTCAATTTCAATATAGCCTAGCTTTATTAGACTTTGCGTTTTTTTTTTCTTTTTATGGTTTTCCCCCCTCGCTTTTTACACAGTATAGGAGAGTTTTGTGTGTGCGTTTAAGACGCCAGAATGGCGTCTGTTCCCACGCCAGGAACGCCGACACTGTCTCTGTGAAACGGGTGCCGGTGTGTATCGGCCTCTCGGATTGTTGTGTTTTTAAAGTCTGAGGCGCTAGTTAACCAGTTGACTGTTAGTGGCGGTGAAGGAAGCATTTGTTCCGCTATCCGCTCCAGCAACTAAAGTTACCATTTCAAATGTTCCGCCTTTTGTATCTAACGATGTTATCACTAAAGAGTTGCAAAAATTTGGTAATATCGCGGGTCCGGCGAGGGTGTAAACACCGCTCTGAAGCATGTCCTGTCGATTACACGCCCGGTTTACATGTTTTTAAATTCACCGGAGCGAACTTTGGAAGTCTCTTTCCGTGTTAATCAATGAGGGAATTCTTTCATGGTGTATAATGCCATTACCACTACTGACAGTCTGCGCTGTTTTGATTGTGGCGATCTGTGCGCACAAAGACGAACAGCGCAAGTCCACCACATCTGACGCACAGGACATCAGGACACAGGAACACGAAACGCCGAAGAGCAGGATAAAGTCACTACAGAGGAAGAGCAGGGACGGACAGCAGGAGGTAAGTGAACATAATGTAAACATTGGGAGTGAGGAACAACCTGGCTGCAGTTTTGTGTACGTCTGATGTGGTTAATGAGAGTGAGACTCAAGATCATGGGTCAGAGGAATGATACAGAACAGGTAGAAGGTGAGAAGGAAAACATGGATGATGAAATGGTGGATTTGATGGAATGAAGAATGATGAGCAGTGGTCAGAGGCTGTAAAGGACATGTATACTGCTGAACAAATCAACTCCTTTCTTGACAAAACAAAAGGAAAATCCGGTGTTGAAATATGAGATTACTTCCCTGATGGAGAAAACTTTATTTCTTCTGTAATGTGGGGTAGGAAAATGAGCAGACGAGCTTTCACAACAAAAGAGGTTTCGTTTTAACTACTTTAAGAAACCAGGAAAAGCGAGGGGGAAAATAAATAATCATGACTATAAGTTTATCTTTTCTTTACTGCTTTCTTTTTCTCTCTGTCTTCCTTATGGAGACCTTACGGGTGGGATCTCTAAATGTAAATGGGATGAGGGATGGGAAGAAAAAATGTTTGCTTTCAGAAATGATACGTTTGAAAGAGCTAAATGTTGTATTATTGCAGGAGACTCATAGTGATAAAGGGACTGAGGTAGATTGGGGTTTGTGGAGGGAAGGAGAGAAGGTTCTCAGTGGGGACTGATCTGAGTGCAGGAGTGGCTGTGCTGTTTTCACCTGGTCTTAAAGAAAACATTTTATTAAAAGAAGAAGAGGTTGAACCAGGAAGATTGCTAATTATTAGAGCTGAAATTAGAAATCTTGTTTAAATATTTAAATAAATATTTACGCTCCTAATTTAGGACCAGACAGGGTGAAGTTTTTTAACAAGCTGGAGACAGTATTAAGTACGGAGGCGTATTCACTTGAAGAAAAAAAATGTACTCTGTTTTTCTGAATGAATTAGTTAATTTTTCATGAGAAATTTTTTTTTGCTCTGTTTTTCTGAATGAATGAGTTAATTTTTAATGGAATTTTTTTTTTGCTCTGTTTTTCTGAATTAATGAGTTAATTTAGAAAAACAGCAAAAATAAATTTGCTCATGAAAAATTAACTCGTTAATTCAGAAAAACAGAGTACATTTTTTTTCTTCAAGTGAATGCAATACGCCTCCGTAATAAAGCAACAGCAGGATGGGGATTTAATAATAATAGGAGGAGATTGGAACTGCACTCTAGATTTCACAAAAGATAGGAATGGAGAAGAACCTCGCGCACATCAGCTGCAGTCTTAGGAAATGTAATAAAAACATTAAATTTATCAGATGTTTGGAGGGAACAAAATCTATCAGCTAAGCAATACACATGCGTAAAATTTAGTAATGGAAGGATCTCTGGGGCACGTATCTGTCTTTCATCGTCTGTCTGAGAGTGATGTGAAATAAAACGCCCAGAACTCTAGTCAGAATATAGTTTTATTATGTGCATATGATGTGTACAATTGACGTTCATAACATTAATGTAAATTACTCTTATTGATATAAAGAGAACAGATATATATCCTCATGAATTATTAGAATGATTAAAACTAATCATCAATCACATTTAAAACCATTAAAACTAATTACAATCAGTTTCTGTATGAATATAATGGAATAATCTGATTATGACACTCCGACACACACACTCTGCTGTTGAATTATTGTCTCCTCGTGATCGACATCATCTCAGATATACCACTGAGCTAAAACAGAAGGAACAAACACAGTCAGTACATATTATGATAGAGTTATTATTATTATCATTACAGTAGATGATGGTTTGACTTTGAAAGCTGTTGATGCTGCGCTCACACACACTGATGTACCTCTGATGTCACTGAAGCAGTTTGAGCAGTGGACTCGCTCCCGATGGACCCACAGAGACTTCCCAGCTTCCAGACCCCCGAGATCCCGGCGACACACCGCACACTGAGAGACAGACGGATCAATCAGACTCACACACACACACACACACACACACACTTGTGTCGTGAGCCTCAGTGCAGATGGAGATCTTACCCTGAAGCAGGCCGTGTGGCTGATGATGTTCAGCTCCTCTAAGATCATCTTCTCTCCTCCAGCGATGGGTTTCCCACAGACCGTACAGGCGACCCTACAGACAGATCTTACAGTACTCTGGATAATATAATAACCCCTGATGATCATAAACCTCATTAACCCCTGACCTGCTGGAGGACTGCAGTGTCTGTAGAGGCGAGCGAAGGGTCGGTGACGCCGAGGGAATCTCAGTGCTCACGGTCCTGACCTGCGATCTGATATCAGGAGAACAACACAGGCCTGATTACACAGAAGAGTCCATCTGACCATCATCATCATCATCATCACGTCTACACTCTAAAAAATATTGGGTTCATTTTATACCCAAATCCTGGGTTGAGCCTTTTGGGTACATTTTTTTTGGGTTTTATTTTCAGTGTTTGGGTAATTTTTGTGTAACCCAGCTCCTGGGTCAGACGTAACAACCCAGGGGTTGAGTTATTTATCACAGGCTTTTTGCGAGAACTTCATGTCCCCTCTTCAGGAGAAGTAACACGAGTTATTCTGTAAACATTAAAGGGTTAGTTCACCCAAATATGAAAACTCACCCTCATGTTGTTCAACCCCGTAAGACCTTCGTTCATCTTCGCAACACTAATTAAGATATTTAAGATATTAAGATCGCTCCTGCATACTAGTCCATAGGCTTCTTGAGGGAAAGACTCGAAAAATCATTAAAGACATCGTTAAAATAGTCCAAGTGACTACAGGGGCTCAATCTTAAGTTGATCAAACGACGAGAACACAAAAATAACGACTTTATTTCAACTATTGGTTTATTTCTCCCTCTGCGCGAGTCAGGTTACTAGTTTAATAGCGTAAGCTTCTGTTATTGTACGTCACACGCATCACACACATGACCAGCGTCGGCCAATAGTGAGCCTACGTGTGACGTAGCTTTACGCAATCACACTACGCTAACTGACTACAGGCCCATGGAGAAGGAAGTGAATAGTTGAAATAAAGTCGTTATTTTTGTTGTTTTTGCGCACAAAAGTGTTCTCGTCGTTTGATAAAGTTAAGATTGAGCCGCTGTAGTCACTTGGACTATTTTAACGATGTCTTTAATGACTTTTCGAGTCATTCCCTCAAGAAGCCTATGGACTGTATGCAGGAGCGATCTTAATATCTTAAATATCTTAATTTGTGTTGCGAAGATGAACGAAGGTCTTACGGGGTTGAACAACATGAGGGTGAGTAAATACTGACAGAATTTTCATTTTTGGGTGAACTAACCCTTTAATTCATGTATGAAGTATAAAAGAAAAGGCTATTACTATAGTAATAATTAATCAACCCATTATGCTGGGTTAAATTAACCGTTCCCTATATATTTACCCAGACTTTGGGTTGTGTTTGTGAGAGTGCAGTGTGTGTGAGCTGGCTATGACCTGATGTGGAGTGTGTGTCTTACTGTGATCGGAGCGGCTGCGACGGCACTCGTCCCGACAGCAGCGAGTCAGCGAGGCCGTCCAGTGGAGCGCTGAGGGGGAAACACACATGAAGATCTCAGGGTACAGGACAGGTGAGCAGAAGATCTACCTGACAGTCTGGAAGCTGGAGTGTGTGTTCAGGAGAACACCTGACATCCACACAAACATTTCATCATCACACAGTATAAGCAAAGATCACCGAATCCGGAAGTACTGCGTATCAGCGTGAACGACGTCACTGACGGATCGATATAATGTGTGTTTGGCCTTCACACACACACACACACTCGTGAACACGGCTCCTCTGCGTGAATGCTCAATCTCAGGTGTTTCAGACGTGAGATGATCACGATGAGCTCATGAAAACTGTTGACTATTTTATTTTCTGTATTTATCCACTGTGTATTGATGATATCTGTTGAGTTATGGCCTTTATCTGCGCTTGAACTGAGCCGTGAGTGTGTGTAGACGTTTAAGAGGCTGTTGTGTCGACCTTTTGTAATGTTCAGTTTTATTTCGAATTTAGAAAATAAGCATGATTTGTCATCTTACAATTATTTCGTCGAGGACGAGTGTAGACTCGGTGTGAGTGAAATACTGAAGAACTGTTGAAATCAGAAACTGGAAGTCGTGTGGAGCCGGCGACTCTGTAATGAGTATTTCGCTGTCAGGCGTCTGTGCTTTTTAAGGGTGTTCTGACGTCCCTGTCGTCACGCGTGTGACCGCTGGCTTAAAGTGAACATGTTTTGATGTTGATGATCTGATTGTTTAATTGATCTTTGTTTCACTGACTGAATAAGTTCCCGCACCTCGCTGAGGGTTTCTCTGACGGCCGCAGACTCTCCTCCAGCGCTGGAGATGCTTTAGTGTTCGTGACGGCCGTCCTGTTTGATGGACAGACCAATCAGAGACCCTGAACATCAGGTGTGTGTGTGTGTGTGTGTGTGTGTGTGTGTGTGACACCTACTGAGACTGAGACGGTGTCGAGGACTTCACTGTAGACACAGACACGCTTTCACTCCTGAGAAAATAGAACAACATTAGGTGTGTGTGTGTGTGTGTGTTTGTGTGTGTGTGTGTGTGTGTGTGTGTGTGTGTGAGAGAGAGAGACACTTACCGAGACTGAGACGGTGTTGAGGACTTCAGTGTAGACACAGACACGCTTTCACTCCTGAGAACAGAGAACAACATTAGGTGTGTGTGTGTGTGTGTGTGTGTGTGTGTGTGTCTGTGAGTGTGTGTTTGTGTGTGTGTGTGTGTGTGTGTGTGTGTGTGTTTATGTGTGTGTGTGTGTGTGTCTGTGAGTGTGTGTTTGTGTGTGTGTGTGTGTGTGTTTATGTGTGTGTGTGTGTGTGTGTGTGTGTGTGTGTGTGTGTGTGTGAGACACCTACTGAGACGGAGATGGTGTCGAGGACTTCAGTGTAGACACAGACACGCTTTCACTCCTGAGAACAGAGAACAACATTAGGTGTGTGTTTATGTGTGTGTGTGTGTGTGTGTGTGTGTGTGTGTGTGTGTGTGTGTGTGTGTGTGTGAGACACCTACTGAGACGGAGACGGTGTCGAGGACTTCACTGTAGACACAGACACACTTTCACTCCTGAGAACAGAGAACAACATTAGGTGTGTGTGTGTGTGTGTCTGTGAGTGTGTGTTTGTGTGTCTGTGAGTGTGTGTGTGTGTGTGTGTGTGAGAGAGAGACACTTACCGAGACTGAGACGGTGTTGAGGACTTCACTGTAGACACAGACACGCTTTCACTCCTGAGAAAATAGAACAACATTAGGTGTGTGTGTGTCTGTGAGTGTGTGTGTTTATGTGTGTGTGTCTGTGAGTGTGTGTGTTTATGTGTGTGTGTCTGTGAGTGTGTGTGTTTATGTGTGTGTGTGTGTGTGTGTGTGTAAGACACTTACTGAGACTGAGACGGAGATGGTGTTGAGGACTTCAGTGTAGAGACAGACACGCTTTCACTCCTGAGAAAATAGAACAACATTAGTGTGTGTGTGTGTGTGTGTGTGTGTGTGTGTGTGTGTGTGTGTGTGTGTGTGTGTGTGTGGAGGATGAATCTGACCGGGTCGAGCTCTTCACGGGACTGGAGACGGAGGAACTCTTCCCAGCGCTGAGGAATGAAGAAACACATCAGAACTTCAGATGCTCCTCATCAGTGTTGTCTGGTGTGTCGGACGCATTACTTTTAACATTTACAACAAAATATATGAGTTACTACAAGTTATTTGTTTTCCTATTTTTATGTTTTTTTCAACGTGTGTGTGTGTTGTTTGACTGTTGAACCATAAGCAAATATGACTAGATTTTTATTGGTAAAATAATTGTTATAATCTTTAATCTCCTGCATTCTTCTTCTGTTATCCAGCAGAGCAGCAGCTGAAGTCCATCCAAGACAAGAAGTAATTCAATATAATAATGCATTACAGTAACTCTCCCAACACTGATCATCATTAACATCTGGATCTGAAAATCTCTTACGTTGAAGTGTCTGGAGCTGCTGCCGACAGGGAGACGCTGTTAGAAACACACACACACACACACACTCACACACGTTTAACAACAGACTCGACGTCACAGACGATGGTGGACCAGCGCCGATGATCTCACACTCTAAAAATGCTGGGTTGTTTTTACCCAATTTTGGGTAAAATGTGGACAAACCCAGCCAATGGGTTAAAATTGTAATTTAAAAATGTAACCCATGTAACCCAATGGCTGGGTTTGTCCATATTTACCCAAAATTGGGTAAAAACAACCCAGCATTTTTAGAGTGTGAGATCATCAGCGCTGGTCCACCATCGTCTGTGACGTCGAGTCTGTTGTTAAACGTGTGTGAACTCTGATCTTCAACCCAGCGTTCTTTAGAGTGTATTCAGTCTGTTTATTACAAGTAACTAACATACAAATCAAAACTATAACATACAAATCAACACCTAAACAGAACTGCAGAAATACAGAACCATGACATACTAAACTATACAGTAACGAATCTCGGCTGAAAAACACTATTCAAATCTGTATTTGACTGACGTTTCCCACACTGGGGTTCGTGAGTTGATGAAAAGCCATATTTTTTAATAAATATTGTAATAAAAATGTAAAATAAAGCATATTAAAGGATGATTTTTAATGTCATGTAACCACTAACTGAGATTAACATCAGAGAACCGTGAACATGTGTCATCAAATTATTGAAATATGAAATGAAAACTTCAAGAACAGGTTTGTGAATCACTGAATCGCACAGATGTCACTCGACTCACCCATTGGTAGACTGAGACGCTGTGAGATCTGGAAACTTCTCACCGAACGATGGTTTAACAGGACTCAATCTGTCACACACAAACATGAACACGCGTTTAACGGCCCTGGTGTTTCTGAAAGTGGAGTCTCTTCTGCTCACCAAGGCCGTGTTTATTAGATCAAAACTACAGTAAAACAGTGAAATATTACTCCAGTGTAAATCATCTGTTCTCTATGGGAATATACAGTAAAGTGTCATTTATTCCTGTGATTTACTCCAGTCTTCAGTGTCACATGACCCTTCAGAAATCACTCTAATATGAGGATCTGATGATCAAGACACATTTATGATTATTATCAGTGTTGAAAACTGTTCATTTTTTGTGGAAACTGTGATCAATTCTATTGTTGAGGATTCTTTGATGATAGAAAAAGCATTTATTTCAAATAGAATCTTTTAAAACATTATATATGTCTTTACTGTCACTTTTGGTCAATTGAATGCATCCATGATAAATAAAAGTATTAATTTCTTTAAAAAAAATATATAATTTAGCCCCAACCTTTGAGTGCATGTTAAGAATGTTAAATCATGAAAAACATATTAATCAATGTTCTTTGAATGTAAAAAAAAAATGTTAAAAAGTTTTTAAAAATGTGTTTTCTTGGTCATGTGAACAAAAGTGGGCGTTTCTGAATTTGTGGGTGTTTCAAACTAATGGGTGTTTATGAATCATGTAATGAAAATGATGCCCTGCACCCCGCCCTCACTGTGACGTGGTCCAATCAGGTGATGTGGTCAAAAATGCCCTCTGTTTATGGCCCCGCCCACTGATCTGGTCCTGCAGACACACTGATAGCGGCCGCTGGTGAACTTCACTTTACTCACGGTTTGCTGCTGGTGTTAGCGCCAGAGAAGACGCGCGCCGTGAAGCTGGATGTGGGAGTCTTGAGCACCGGATTCCTGCAACAGAGTCTCACATTAAACAGATTCACTGAAGCTTCTAGCATGTGTGTGTGTGAAGAGCATCTGATCTCACTTGGCAGGGACCGGAGGTTTGGGAGCCGGAGTCGGTGGCGGGACGACCGCAGAGATGCTCTTGTTCACTGATGAGGGGCTGAGGGACCACAGAAGAGCCAAGACAAGACAAGGTATAGTCAAGTCAAGGTATAGTCAAGTTATGTTATAGTAAAGTCAAGTGTGTGTGTGTGTGTGTGTGTCACCTCTTGTTGAAGGTTGTCCCAGAGTTCACTGGGGTTTTTATGGCCTTCACTGACTTGCTGAAGTTACACAGAACATGAATGTGATTTAATATGAATATGAAAGCAGTGGCTGATATGATTATGATTGACAGATTCTCACCTGCTGACATCATCATCCACTGGTTTCTTCTGAGACAGAACGACTTTACCGAAGTTCGGATCATCACTATAAAACAACAGCAGATCCAGGAATATTGTAGAGGAGCTCATATGATATCATTTCTACAGCACACGTGTGTGTGTGTGTGTGTGTGTGTGTGTGTGTGTCATACTCGATGGGTTCGTCCTCTTCTGTGTTTCGTTTGATCCAGCTGTTGTCTTGTAGGACGGTTCTCCTCCCTCAAACATGTTGACACATCATCATCATCATCATCATCATCATCACACACACACACACAAGTTCTCGACAGGTTTCAGGAGCCTCAAATAAACGAGAAGATCTTACCGGATCTGGTGTGTGTGCTCATGATGAAGCGCTGTTGAAGTCCTGTGGATCAAGAGTTCGGCAACAACAGAACCTTCGCTTATAAACCACTCGTGTCGTGTTTGCGTGTGAAAGTCAGTGTGCTGCAGGCGTGCTGTTATGCATATGTGGCAGGTGTGTGTGTGTGTGTGTGTGTGTGTGTGTGTGTTTTGTTTCTCAGGGTGTGAGCTGAAGTTACATGTCCTGATCAACCAGCAGAAACAATTACCACACACACACCCTGCTGATAACCTGCGTTCCTTACACTCGAACGCTTCTCACACACACACACACACACACACACACACACACACACATCTCAGAGATGCTGAATATGACTGTGAGAGGCAGAAGTATGGAAGCCCATTTCTGCCACACTGAAAGAAATATATTAAGACTTACTGTACAAAGTCATAAATTCATAATTATGACATTAAAACATCAAAATTGACATAAATTATAATTATAAATTAATTATCAATTGATTATTACATAATTATTACATCAATACATAATTATTGAATATTACATATTACATAAAAGTTGAAATTATTCGTTAAAAAAGGCAGAATTATTACATTAAAATATTGCAATTGACATAAACCGTTGTAAGATTTACAGTCAAAATTATGGCATAAAATGTTAAATCATAACCAAAACTTGAAATTATGATGAAGTCTAAATTATGTTGATTACTGGTATGACGTAAAAGTCAAAATTATGACATACTAAGTTATAATTATGTCATAAAATCCCAATCAAGTCGTAATTATGATTTACCTAAGCATGATTTTGTTTCTTGTGTGGCAGAAATGAGCTTCAATAAAAAGATATGATAGATATGAAATATGGACGAATGTTTAAAGTCATTAATGCTGCAGTGTAAGTTTGACTGACCTGTGTGTGACGGACGGCCGCTGGCGTGCGAGAGTGTGTGTGTGTGTGTGTGTGTGTTTGTTAATCTGCTGTCACACCCTGCTCTGCTGTCAGCCAATGAGGACTTTGATCACATGACCTCTGACCTCAGTAAACCTGTACAGTGAGTTTCAGCTGCTGCTTCAGCACACAAACACACACACACACACACACACTTTACTCACACTGAGAGAGATTATACACACACACACACACAGGTTCTTCACCTGTTCTTCATGACGAGTCCAGGCCTGTCGTTGACGGGTGTGTATCTGACGAACGCGTCACACATTCCTTGTTTTACCAGATGAGTTTCCCTCTCCACATCTGGAGTCGGACCCTCTCCGCTTCACACCACATGCAGAATCATTATTAGAACCAAAAACTACAATATTAGTGTGAATATTGTGTGTGTCTCAGTCGCTGCTTGTATTCCTTTATAAAGCTAGAGATGGAAAGAGAACATCTCACATTTCAGTGTTATTTTAAAAGAATTGGGAGAATGATACAGTTTTTGTCTTTTTATTATTTTCTATGTCACTATTTTATAAATATTTTTTTTAAATTTCAGTTTAATTTTGTATTTATTTATTTTACATCAAGTAACTGAAATAAAATAAAAACTATAACCTATTTTAGTTTATTTCTGTTATTTTATTTCAAGTAGGCTAATGGAGATGTTTTGATTGGTTTATGGTTTTAGTTTTAAATAACCCTGAATCCAACACACTCTTAGCATTAGAAAAAAAAGACATTTAAAAATATTTACCTATTATAACCTACACTTTAAAACAAGATGTATTTATGCTTTAAACATCTAAACAAACATTTAAAAATCTAAACATTACAATGTTTAAACATCTAAACATTTCAACATGTTTTCTGTGATTCGCATACTACTGTCCTGCCACACACAGTAAGAGATACGGTGAAGGTGAAGGTTAGGGTGTTTATTCTCAGTATTTATGAGAGAGAGAGAGAGAGAGAGAGAGAGAGAGAGAGAGAGAGAGAGAGAGAGAGAGAGAGAGAGAGAGAGAGAGAGAGTGTGTGTTTGTGTGTGGGTGTGAGAGAGAGATCGCCGCCCTCTGCCGGCAGCGTGAGGAACTACACTCAATCGACTCTACCCAGAATGCACCGCTCGCGTCTTAGCCTCTTAGCACAAGCTCTCTTTTACTGTATCTGAGCTCAACACTTTGCCATTTTCCGCGAACAGGCGCTTCTCTGAGGAGAAATTGGGTCACAAAATACTGAGAGAAACCCTCGACGCGTCTTCACGGTGTTCACCAGAGCCGCCGATCCCCGCGCGTCGATCTCCGCCCTCACCGCGTCGAGCGAGGCCAATGCTGGTGTTCGGTCGGGCCGCTCGGGGGAAGCACTGGAGCTCGGGCCCGGGCTGAGGACAACCGATCACCGATCACACAGGTACATCAACACCAACAAACTTCATATAATATATGTCTGTCTGTAGGGATGGGCGTCGACTCACATTTCACCATCCGATTCGATATTGATTCATGTGGACACACAGTATATCAGGCAGGTTAGTTAGTTCACGTTACAGTGATTTATTTAGATGTCAGTTTTGTCAACTAAAACTGTAAACAGGAATATGGCTGTAATAACTTTTGTCATGACGGATTTCCTCAGTCATACATTAAATATTGAAGAACAGGTTATGTAAATGTAATGAATAGGCTATGCAATGTAGTGTGTAAACTATGGAAGCGCTCCTCTAGAGTTCTGTCTCTGAAGAGAGAGAGAGTGTGTGTGTGTGTGTGTGTGTGAGAATGTGAGTTATTGTTCTCTGCTGTGTGATTGACGGCTGAAACACTGATTGATGGATTATTAGATATGATTGATTTCAGGAAGTTGTTCTGAATCTTCCAACTGTCCTTCTGATGTTCATTGGTGTTTATTTGCTGATGTAACTAGCAGTGAAGAGGAGGAGGCTTCATCTGACACACACACACACACACACACACTGGCTGAATTTACTGATGAAACTGACTTTGAGTTTGAAACTTTTAGAAGTATCACAGATTATTGTGATTATGGGATGGAGGAGGACAGAGAGTGTGTGTGTGTGTATTGGAGGAGGACAGAGTGTGTGTGTAGTGGAGGAGGACAGAGTGTGTGTGTGTGTGTGTGTGTGTGTGTGTGTAGAGGATGTTAGATTGACAGATGTCAGACTGAAGCTGATTGATTAATGACAGTGTTGATGTTTGTTCAGATGCAGATTTATTCTTGATTAATATTGATATTGATTCTGTTCAGTGTTTTCTCACACACATCTGAAGCTTGATTCACGGAGTCATGTTGGGCGTGTTGACGCATTTAATTTAGATTCTGTTCAGTTAATTCATGCATGAATGTGTTTGGCAAATGCTCGTTAATCCATGTGTGTTTAGATGAAGTCGGAAGATGATAGCGGATCCAGTTAACCACAGGTCATTAAAGAGTAAAGAATTAGATGAGTAACGGCTCATGTCAACACTAATGCTGTTTGTTCTCTTTATATTGTAATGAGGGTTTGAAATTAACTTTTTTACCCACGGGCCAACTAAATGTTTAAGTTACCGGCCGTCTAAAACCTCTTCTAGCCAAGAAGAGAAATAAACCAGATTAACTACATCACTCAAATGCAAGTTTGTTTATTTATTTATTTAATTCAATGAATATTCAAAATTAAAATTTTTATTTGACAGGAGTTGCACCAGGTACCTGATTATAGCGATTATAGTGCTTAAACACAGGAAAAGTCTGATTTTCACGATATGTCCCCTTTAAGTAAACCAGCCGCAGCGCTGTATACTGGATATGCTAACAGAAACACACCGCGTCAGTGATGATGTCATCATCGTGTCTCGTGCTTCTTCATACACCAACAATTCGAATGTTTTTTTTTTGATGATTATTAGAAATTCACATTTTTATTTGACGGCCCTAATGTGAAGAACTCCTAATACTCCGTTGGGTCCGTAGGCGCTGTTGGTCCGCGTGCTGAGAATGAAGCGAGTGCACGAGGCGGACGAGAGGAGCGTGTCGGAGCTGTGCAAGCGGGTCCGCTGGGCCGGTTCTGAGGACGAGGCCGCGGTGGACTGGCGACTGCTCCCCGAGGAGATCCTGCTGATCGTCTTCCAGTACCTGCCTCTGCTGGACCGGGCCTGGGCCGCACAGGTGTGTCGCGGCTGGAACAACACCTTCCACACGCCGCAGCTCTGGAGGTGCTTCGAGTTCCAGCTCAACCAGCCGGCCAGCTCCTGCCTGAGGGCCACACACCCCGACCTCATCAAGCAGATCATCACACGCCACTCCAACCACCTGCAGTACGTCAGCTTCAAGGTGAGTGTGTGTGAGAGTGTCTCTTGCTGCAGCAGGAGATGATATCATTGCTGATGTGTGTGTGTGTGTGTGTGTGTGTGTTCAGGTGGACAGCAGCACTGAATCTGCAGAAGCCGCGTGTGATATCCTCTCTCAGCTCGTCAACTGCTCTCTGAAGACCCTCGGCCTCATTTCCACCGCGAGACCCTCCTTCATGGAGCTGCCCAAAGTCAGTCTCACACACACACACACACACACACACACACACACACACACACTCTCTCTATTTTCCATCTCTCAGGTCCAGCCTCACTGTAATGGGCTCGTGTGTGTGTGTGTGTTCTCTCCTCAGTCTCACTTCATCTCGGCGCTGACGGTGGTGTTCGTGAACTCGAAGTCTCTGGCGTCTCTGAAGATCGATGACACTCCGGTGGACGATCCGTCACTCAAAGTGCTGGTGGCGAACAGCAGCGACACACTGAAGCTGCTGAAGATGAGCAGCTGTCCACACGTGTCCCCCGCAGGCGAGCGCCACACACACACTCTCATCAGGGCTGGGGAATGGGGCTTTTTAACCATTCTGCTTATCAATTCCTAATTTTGAAATCATTTAGTTGTGGCTGAATATCATGAACTCGTCAGCTAAAGAACACTTACAGCAGCACTGTCGCTTTAAAGGGTTAGTTCACCCAAAAATGAAAATTCTGTCAGTATTTACTCGCCCTCATGTTGTTCAACCCCGTAAGACCTTCGTTCATCTTCACAACACAAATTAAGATATTTAAGATATTAAGATCGCTCCTGCATACAGTCCGTAGGCTTCTTGAGGGAATGACTCGAAAAATCATTAAAGACATCGTTAAAATAGTCCAAGTGACTACAGTGGCTCAATCTTAACTTTATCAAACGACGAGAACACTTTTGTGCGCAAAAATAAACAAAAATAACGACTTTATTTCACTATTGCTCACTATTGGCCGACGCTGGTCATGTGTGTGTGATGTGTGTGACGTACAATAACAGAAGCTTACGCTATTAAACTAGTAACCTGACTCGCGCAGAGGGAGAAATAAACCAATAGTTGAAATAAAGTCGTTATTTTTGCGCACAAAAGTGTTCTCGTCGTTTGATAAAGTTAAGATTGAGCCACCGTAGTCACTTGGACTATTTTAACGATGTCTTTAATGACTTTTCGAGTCATTCCCTCAAGAAGCCTATGGACTAGTATGCAGGAGCGATCTTAAAGGGTTAGTTCACCCAAAAATGAAAATTAAGTCATTAATTACTCACCCCCATGCTGTACCAACCCCGTAAGACCTTCGTTCGTCTTCGGAACACAAATGAAGATATTTTTGATTAAATTTGAGAGCTGTATAACTACCACATCGGCTCCTAAAGGACTGCCTCTTGACGGCCCAGAAAGTCAATGAAGAAAATGTTTAAATATCCCAAGTGACTACCGTGGCTCAACTATATGTTTATCAAGCGACGCGAATACTTTTTGTGCGAAAAAACAAACAAAAATAACGACTTTATTCGACTATTTCTTTTCTTCCTTGTAGGCCAGAACGAGACTTCCTTATAGATTTCCACGACGCATGCGCGAGAATTGCGATCTGCTCACATCAGCTTACGCCACTTCAGATCGCAAATCTCGCGCATGCGTCGTGGAAATCTAAGGAAGTCTCATTCTGGCCTACAAGGAAGAAAAGAAATAGTCGAATAAAGTCGTTATTTTTGTTTGTTTTTTCGCACAAAAAGTATTCGCGTCGCTTGATAAACATATAGTTGAGCCACGGTAGTCACTTGGGATATTTAAACATTTTCTTCATTGACTTTCTGGGCCGTCAAGAGGCAGTCCTTTAGGAGCCAATGTGGTAGTTATACAGCTCTCAAATTTAATCAAAAATATCTTCATTTGTGTTCCGAAGACGAACGAAGGTCTTACGGGGTTGGTACAGCATGGGGGTGAGTAATTAATGACTTAATTTTCATTTTTGGGTGAACTAACCCTTTAAGAGCCGCACGGGTCCACGACACACACAAGGACAGAACACGCTCGCTCGCTCGCTCGAACGCTTTAAAGTCATGTTGAAATGCACACAAAGGAATCAATAAGTTATTTTTAATTTTATAACAAGTATTCGAGTCCCGACCGCATCACTGGTGCTCTTTGAACTGGTTCAGCTAACGGTGTGTGTTGTCTCTGCAGGAATCCTGTGTGTGGCGGATCAGTGTCACGGTCTGCGCGAGCTGGCGCTAAACTACCACCTGTTGAGCGACGAGCTCCTGCTAGCGCTGTCGTCGGAGCGGCACGTTCACCTGGAGCACCTGCGCATCGACGTGGTGAGCGACACCCCGGGCCAGACCTTCCACTCCATCAAGAAGAGCAGCTGGGACGCCATGCTGCGCCACTCGCCCCAGTTCAACCTCGTCATGTACTACTTCCTGTACGAGAACGAGTTCGGGCCGTTCTTCCGCGACGAGGTGCCGGTGACGCACCTGTACTTCGGCCGCTCGGTCAGCAAGGAGGTGCTGGGCCGCGTGGGGCTGACGTGCCCGCGGCTGGTGGAGCTGGTGGTGTGCGCTAACGGCCTGCGCCCGCTGGACGAGGAGCTGATCCGCATCGCTGAGCGCTGCCAACACCTGGCGGCCATCGGCCTGGGCGAGTGCGAGGTCTCCTGCAGCGCCTTCGTGGAGTTCGTGAAGATGTGCGGCAAGCGGCTCTCGCAGCTCTCCATCATGGAGGAGGTGCTGATGCCCGACAACCAGTACGGGCTGGACGACATCCACTGGGAAGTGTCCAAACACCTGGGGCGCGTCTGGTTCCCCGACATGATGCCCACCTGGTAGCCGGAGACGCTCGCTAGTAATCGCGCTTAAACACTTCATCAGGACAGCTGAGATGATGCGCTTCTCACACAGAATACGGCAGTCATGTGTTTATTAGTCGTGTTTAATGTGTGTGTGTGTGTGTGTGTGTGTAAGAGAGACTGTGGCGTTCAGAGGGATGTGTGTGTGTGTGTGTGTGTGAGACGCCCTCTTGTGTTCATATGGAGCATTTCCTCCCGATCTTCACTGACGAGCTGCACATAAATTAATCACTGCTTTGTGTCCACGATTTGTCCGTCTGAAACACGTTCTGCAAATCCTAAAGGTTTCCTCTGATCCTCGGCTATAATCTGCAGTCGTCGATCACATGACCTCTGCCGAACCCCCGTCGGTGTGTGAGATCGGACTCAGGCCCCGTCCACACTAAGATTCAGAATTAAAACGAATACGATCTCCGTCCACACCAGCGTTTTATCTGCGTATTAGAATTGATCTCCGTCCACATTAAAACGACTGAAAACGCAGATCACGTGACCATTCACCAACACTGGGCATGCGCGTGCCGGTGTAAACAGCGATTGACGAATCAGGGAAGGACACGTCATGACTGATGACACCCAATCATAGAGCCGAGCGTCAGTGTTTCTGAACTCCTCCGTTTAGTCTCGTCCGCACTAAAACGCCCTCCGGAGATTCAAAACGCAAAACTCAGCTGCAGCGTTTCTAAACTTCTCCGTTTTAGGTCTTCGTTTTTCCCGCTTTAGTGTGGACGGGAGGTGCAAACGTAGCAAAAGGTCTCCGTTTTTAAACGAAAACGCAGTAGTGTGGGCGGGGCCTCAGTCCTGCAGTGTTTCTCCTTCGACTCCGTTCTTCAAGACGAGCTGTGACCAAAACTAGCGTTAGCGATTCCTGTGTAGCGACTGTTTCAATCCCGCGTGTGACGCAGCTCACGCCCCCTGATGGAGGAGACACGTCTCCACTGTCGGACATTATTACAGTCGAGATGGAGCGTGTGTGTGTCCGCATGAAGCCTCAGCTCGTCGGGTCGATCAGGTGTGTGTGTCTTCTCTCACATGTTGGACATCAGAAAACACTGCGAACCGTTAATCTGAACCCAGTGCTCGTTTCTCCAAGGGTTGATCTGTCCAGTTGACATTTCCTGAAGATGATGATGATGTCATGAGCTCTTGTGTTTTGTTAGTTCGCAGTCGCTGGAGGAAATCAGTGTGAATGCGTGATTGGAGGATGAGGACGAGTTGCTTCTGATCCAACGACTGCAGAGAAAGACGTGATTGGCTCTGGTTCGAGTCATGTGACCGCGCCGCTAGTGTCTGCCGACTTCATGGGTTCTCAAGCAATACTTTAAAGAGGCTCAATTCAGATCATTTGCACTTTATTTAGAAATGTACATATGAGATTATGGGTTGTCAATAGTTCTCCTGATGATAATGATGACGATTATTATTAGATTATTTTCTTTGCATTAAATGAATAGTGATAAACTTTTAATTGCTTCATCGTTTTTATGAATATAAATAATTGAAGTTTATCTATAAAAGAGACGAACTATGTGGTGTAAAATGTAAATGTTGTTGTTTTTGAATAAATGTGTGTATGTCAGAGGCGCTTCAGTGTGTGTTCTCGGTGACGGTTCACATCGGTGGAGACGTCTCTTCAATTACAGGTTAGACACTGAACTGCTTTTTAAATCGTTATTTCTATGAAAACAATTATATTAAAAGTGAAAATTATTTTGTTTGTTTAGATTAAAGTCTGAAAAAGTCTTTTGAAATAAAATAATGGCATTTTCAGGGTTCAAAAAAGTCATTAGAAGAGTTCAATAAAAGGTCATTCAGTACTCGACTGTGATTGGTTCATTCAATGCAGAGCCAGCGATGTCCAGCTCCGCCTTTCTGGACTGAATGGGTGGAGTTATGTAGGATTATGGCTGTGATTGGTCTGTCTAGCCCCACCCATTTCAAGCTCCGCCCATCGGCTCTGCAGGACGTCACGTGACGCATATGAAAACAGTTTCCTGACTGTATAAGTGCATTAACTTTCTTCTAATTAATTAGCCACTTGAACATAAAAGATGAATCAGATTCTGAAATAGTGATTAGATGGAAAAAATAAATGTTTATGTCATTCAGCGCTGGACCGTCCCAGGTACTAAGACTCGGCTTCCCAAAGGACTTCTTCAGATCACAGATGTGGATCGACAGCTCATGTTCAGATAATTATAACCGTTATAATTCCCGTACATGGATCATCTCTATCTGGTGATTTCAGTGAGAGAGATCGTTGATTTAACACACTTTATCCACATTGCATTCAGGGTTTTAACAGTTCATTCACTGGGAATCGAACCCTAACTCTAGTGTTGCGAACACTGTGATCTACCCTGTGAAACGCTTTATTATTATCATCGCATTACACTAATCACTGTACATTTATCATGTTTTATGTCTATGCGTTTCAATGTAGTGTTTAACTCCTATGTTCAGTTATCATCAGATTTAATGCTTTTTATGTTTTTAATATAAATGATGTTAATAAGTATTTTTATTAGACTTAGGTCTAGTAATAAATTACAAGTAATGGAATCAGATTACTTTTCAAGTAACTATAAAGTAAGACATTACTTTTAAATTTACAACATATCTGAGTTACTTTTCCAAAAAGTGTATCGGATGTTGTGTGTGTGATGTCATGTGTCTTTGATGTCGTGTCTGTGTGTGTGTGTGAGAGATATCCTGTGTCTGTGATGTCATGTGTCTGTGTGTGTGATGTCATGAGATGCTCAGACAGTGTTGATTTCATGAGGGATTTAAAATTCAGCCAATGATGTATGAAACCCGTTACTGCCACACATGACAAAATAGGGAAAATCTTGATTATGACATGAATTTATGACATACTTTGTCATAATTAAGAGATAAAAAGGTAAATAAATCAACATTTTGACTTTTATGTAAGAATAAAAAGTCAAAATAATGAGATAAAGTCGAAATTATGACATGCTAAAATCGTTATTATGACTGAATGAAAAAAAGGGAAAATTATCGAAATTTCCATGTCACATGTTCAGCTTTTATGTCACAATCTAAACTTTTTATGTCATAATTACTATTTACAAAAGTAGGATTATTTTTTTATTTGGCAGAAATAAAACCACCTTCCATAAGGTGGTTTGTGGCATCAGTGCAAAAACAAGCGCTCCTTCAAAAGTGTTTTAATTTGGACAAATATGTCGATATACAAGCTATTAGCTGCTCGAATGTGCAAACCGTATTAGTTTATATTAAATGTGTATTTTATGAGAATATTTCTGCGCTTGATATCATCATGTGGCTTAGTCAGTGATGTCATATTTGATAAATATCAGGATCACAAGCAAAATATTGTTCTGCCTGCGACCCCTTATATTTATTCCCAGAGATATTATTCTGCAGCATTTATTCCGTAAGAAAATATACGGATCCTCAGGAAAATCGCAGAAACTCTGACGTCATCGGATGGTCAACCAGCACGCGGAGCGACGCGGATCCGCCATTGGCCGATTGACCAGAAAACGGCTTTTCTGTGGTCAGATTAGGAAACTCAGCGCTGTGGACTCGAAGGCGCGCCCTTCTCCGGCCATCTTGGCTCAAACATGCCGATGAGCGTCAGCGGAAACATCCGGGTTATCCAGCGCACTTCGGCGGCCATTGTGGCTCTTCATCCCGCAGCTTCATAACCTTGAGAGGGCGGAGCGTTACGCGCTGAACGAGAGTAGCAGCGGAGCGGGAGGAGAGACACCGAGCTGCAGAAAACCGTTACACGGGCAGAGCTGCTTTACCTCACGCGCACCGAGCCGCTTTAACGGAGGACCAGGGCGTGTACCGGTGCGTCTAACGGACAATCATGAGCGCCGTTGGACGGGAACCGAAGCGGCACCGGCTTTGAGCGCGTTTTCATCGTTGGAATATCTCGAGCCGTTTTTTTCGAGTCTTCTTCTTTTTTTTGCGGCCGTTCACGTCACGCTGACATTTATTATTTGAAGCGGCAGATTCCCGGAGCGTTGCGACCTGAATCCCGGAGCGTTGATTTTCCCTGACATCATCATCACCATCACCACCATCATCGTCGTCGTTCGGTGTGAACGGGCAGATTCGGTGGGTCAACCGTCGACGGGAATCCACGGGATTTACGACAGGATTCCGCGGGTGAAAATTATCCGCCACTCGGATTCTGACGTTCGCGGCGCGTTTCTGTGGGAAATCGGATCTGTTCCCAAGGATCTGTCGGCGGGACTATGGCTGACGACGACGTGCTGTTCGAGGATGTGTACGAGCTGTGTGAGGTGATCGGGAAGTGAGTAATCGAATCTAATCAATCAATCAATCATCTGATACTGATCGGCTCCGGTGTGAGGCGTTTTCCTCCGGATCTCTTTGTCTCGTGTGTTGTTGACATTTTATGGCTCTTTAGGTTCAGCTGACCGTGTGTGTGTGTGTGTGTGTGTGTGAGAGAGAGAGAGAGAGAGAGAGAGAGAGAGAGAGAGAGAGAGAGAGAGAGAGAGAGAGAGAGAGAGAGAGATGATTTGACACTAATATTCATTGATCATTAACCAGTAGGGGTTCAATCTTCAACTGGCTGGCAGGAGCTGCCACTGGCAGGTCACGTGACTGACTGGCAGCTGCCAGTGGCTGACTGGCAGCTGCCAGTGGCTGCCAGTGGCTGACTGGCAGCTGCCAGTCGCTGCCAGTGGCTGACTGGCAGCTGCCAGTCGCTGCCAGTGGCTGACTGGCAGCTGCCAGTCGCTGCCAGTGGTTGTCTGTCAGTCTAGTTTCAGAAACCATTGATTATTGACAGTTTTTGTGTTTTGTGTTCCTCCCTTTATAGCTCATTTATTATGTATCTGTTGAAATTATTGTTATTAGTAGTAGGATCGCAATTTAATAGTCAAATGGCCGTGATCAGACTGGCAGTATAGACGCTGCTGGACTCATCCAGTCAGCCGCGGGTGATCAGCGAATATAACGCGTTGCCTGACATTCTCGCTAAAAGGAAATAAATTGTTTTCTTATAATGAATATAATGTCATGTCTTTATTCTTGTGTATGATTGGTGTTTTGGGTACTGTTGTCGCGATTAAACCAGTCAAATGGCCGTGATCCGACTGGCAGCTTGCAGACGCTCGCTGGACGCTAGTCCAGTCAGCCGCGGCTGAGACTGCGAGTCTAACGCGTCGCCTGACACTCTCGCTACAAGGAAATACATTGTTTTCTTTTTATAAATATAAACCCATGCCTTTATTCTTGTGGAGGAATGATGTTTTGTGCACTGTTATCCCAATATAACCAGTCAAATGGCCGTGATCCGACTGGCAGCTTGCAGACGCTTGCTGGACGCTCATCCAGCCAGCCGCTGCTGATCAGGGAATATAACGCGTTGCCTGACACTCTCGCTAAAAGGAAATAAATTGTTTTCTTATTATGAATATAATATCATGCCTTTATTCTTGTGTATGATTGGTGTTTTGGGTACTGTTATCCCAATATAACCAGTCAAATGGCCGTGATCCGACTGGCAGCTTACAGACGCTCGCTGGACGCTAGTCCAGTCAGCCGCGGCTGAGACTGCGAGTCTAACGCGTCGCCTGACACTCTCGCTACAAGGAAATACATTGTTTTCTTTTTATAAATATAAACCCATGCCTTTATTCTTGTGGAGGAATGATGTTTTGTGCACTGTTATCCCAATATAACCAGTCAAATGGCCGTGATCCGACTGGCAGCTTGCAGACGCTTGCTGGACGCTCGTCCAGCCAGCCGCTGCTGATCAGGGAATATAACGCGTTGCCTGACACTCTCGCTAAAAGGAAATAAATTGTTTTCTTATAATGAATATAATGTCATGTCTTTATTCTTGTGTATGATTGGTGTTTTGGGTACTGTTGTCGCGATTAAACCAGTCAAATGGCCGTGATCCGACTGGCAGCTTGCAGACGCTTGCTGGACGCTCATCCAGCCAGCCGCCGCTGATTCAGCGAATATAACGCGTTGCCTGACACTCTCGCTACAAGGAAATAAATTGTTTTCTTATAATGAATATAATGTCATGCCTTTATTCTTGTGTATGATTGGTGTTTTGGGTACTGTTGTCGCGATTAAACCAGTCAAATGGCCGTGATCCGACTGGCAGCTTGCAGACGCTTGCTGGACGCTCATCCAGCCAGCCGCCGCTGATTCAGCGAATATAACGCGTTGCCTGACACTCTCGCTAAAAGGAAATAAATTGTTTTCTTATTATGAATATAATGTCATGCCTTTATTCTTGTGTATGATTGGTGTTTTGGGTACTGTTGTCGCGATTAAACCAGTCAAATGGCCGTGATCCGACTGGCAGCTTGCAGACGCTTGCTGGACGCTCATCCAGCCAGCCGCCGCTGATTCAGCGAATATAACGCGTTGCCTGACACTCTCGCTAAAAGGAAATAAATTGTTTTCTTATTATGAATATAATGTCATGCCTTTATTCTTGTGTATGATTGGTGTTTTGGGTACTGTTATCCCAATATAACCAGTCAAATGGCCGTGATCCGACTGGCAGCTTACAGACGCTCGCTGGACGCTAGTCCAGTCAGCCGCGGCTGAGACTGCGAGTCTAACGCGTCGCCTGACACTCTCGCTACAAGGAAATACATTGTTTTCTTTTTATAAATATAAACCCATGCCTTTATTCTTGTGGAGGAATAATGTTTTGTGCACTGTTATCCCAATATAACCAGTCAAATGGCCGTGATCCAACTGGCAGCTTGCAGACGCTTGCTGGACGCTCATCCAGCCAGCCGCTGCTGATCAGGGAATATAACGC